TAACTTATCAAATTACGTTAAATAAGGTCTAGTAAAATGTAGCTTAACAACCGCATTATCAGTATCTTTCATCTGGTTAACTTGAATCGCATCACTTACCACCTCTTAAGGTCAATTTGTCCATAGTTTAATTATTATTAGTGGTTGCTTTGTTTCCCACCTATGTATAACTGGTTATTTTTTATTTTACTTGGGGTTCTGTGCTGTTTCATATTGCCGATAAATTCTCATTATTTCATATCATATACCTCAATTAACTGGCTGTAAACGACTCTCCTGCGCAGATGGCAATTACGCTGCAACTCTCCACCTTTTGGATGCAATGAACACCTTCATAGTCCCCATATGTTGAAGCCCAGTTCGGTTGGTGGCGTATTTATTCTCATGGAACTAAGACCAACTTAGTATTTGCCAGTCTTCCCGAAACATCATAAAGAAAGTTTCACATATTTTTGACTACCCCTCCCCGGACCTTTACGACCGTCTGAAAGTGGTTATAATCAATATAGTAGCACTTACTAACCAAAACAAACTGCAAGGACTCTTCAGAGGTGTTCAACTTGGAGATCGTAGGACATCAGAAATTCTTAGTCAGATGAAACAGCTAGCTTCGAACTTCGAAATTGACGAAACATTCCTAAAATAAATTTTGGCTGAAGAGGCCATCTCATACAGTGCGAGAAATTCCTCCACCCTGCTACAAATCACCTTTGATGGAATCATCAGAGTCAGCTAATAGAGCGATTGAGACTGGCAGACCATTCGCAAACATTCTTGAGGCCTTATCCACTAAAGATCCATGTCACAATGACCCCCACTCAACGAGTGATTTATCCAGTTTTGACATCAGACAGATGTATCAGGAGTTTTCTAGCCTTAGGAAGGAACTTAGAAGTGGAATTCTTTTCTGCAATCGCTCATCACGCTCTAGCAGCAAATCTGCCTCGTATTACGGAGGAAGGCGGTTGAAATTAAGATACCTGCAGCCTGCAATTTGTTGGTATCATAGACGTTGTATAGCCAATGCACAATGGTGTACTCATCCTGCACCTTTGACACTAACCACTCAGTAAGCGTATGAGTCGGCAATTAATGGCAGCTAACGTCACTGGCGAACCATTCCCTTGTTGCCTCTTCTATGTCATTGATCGAAACTCTAGGATACGCCTCTTAGTTGTTTCTTGGGTAGAAGCTAGCGTGATCCCACCTACATCACAGGAGTATCTACGGCAAACATTTCTACAACTACGCGCTGCTAATGGTTCGCCCATCACAACTTATTGCAGAAGCTCATTAGACCTTAATATGAGACTTCAACGTTCTTTCTGTCGGGTTTTCATAGTGGCCGATGTGACTACTAGCATTGTCGGTATGGTTATCTTGCGGCAACATCAGTAGCTAGTTGATGCTGAAAGGTTTAAGTTGACTGATTTTACCACACCGGTCTCCTTCGCCTGTAATGTCACTCATAAACCCTCTCTCAACCGGGTGCATCCAATCCCTGACTCCATAAGTTCATCCTTTACCATAATCCAATCCGTCGCTGACATTTTCATACCTAATCGTGGCGTTCCTTATGTGAATTCCAATTTTACCCATCACATCATGACTACTGTCCCACCTATTTTCACCAAAGCACTTCGTATCCAGAAAAATTTCAACCCGAGAAAGGCTGAGTTCGAAGACATGCTCGAAGTGGGTATAACCAGACAATCAAACAGCCTGTGACCTACATGTGGTGCCTGAAAAAGTGGCATGGGCTGGAAGCCTTTTGGTGGTTACCGAAGGCTCAGTGCTCAGACAGTGTCAGATCGTCATCCGGTATCACACTTACATGACTTGACATCATCTTTGAAAGGCTCAGCGGTTTTCAGCCAGCTGGATCTGACACATGCTCATCACCAGTTCCCGTACATACTGATGATGTTCCGAAGACAGCAGTCATTACTCCTATCGGTCGTTTTGGGTTTTTTCACATAACTTTCGGTATACGCATCGCCGCACAAGGACTTCGACGTTTCGTTTATGATGTTCTGAGTCGCCTAGGCATTGCTTACTACTATATGGATGATATTCTGATAGTCCAGATGAAGCAACTCATATTGTCCATCTACAACAAATCTTCTGCACATTTTGATGGAACTGACTAATCGTCTAGGTGTACAAAACTAACGCTTATCCCTGAAGCACTGCAAGTGTTCAAGCCAATCAAGATGGATATCGCAGGTATCGTGTGAGTGCACTCATATATTAAACTTCCCCTAAGTATTTCGGTGGATTCATCTAGTACGGCTATATGAGCTATCCTGAAACAGCTCATGAATAACATCTGGACACCTCTAACTTTCTTTTCCAGAAAGCTGTCTGCATAAGAAATGCGATACTGCACTTTCGGTTGCGAACTCTTTGCCATTTATGATTCCATCAAACACTTTTGTCACTTTGCTAAGGGTTTTCAGTTTGCCGTTTTTACTCACCACGAACCTTTGATTAATGTCCTTTAGATAGATACTCTACATGTGAATTACGTCAGTTAGACAACATTTCACAATTCACGTCGGACGTCTTACATGTTTCTAGAGCAAATAGGTCGTCTGTGGATGCCTTGTCACGGATCTGCACCACGACAGTTCTGCCAACCACTGATTTGCGAAAAATGACAGAACTCCAGTCATCATAGTTGAATATAGATAGATTTTATTGCAAAACTTCCTTGAAAAAAGCGCGCGCCTCTTCCTGAAACTTAGAATACATTACTCTGCAACGTGTTCACAAGTAATTCAAGACCTTTTGTTCCTCTATCTTTACGTAGTACAGTATTAAATGTCTGAACAACCTTTCAATAATTTGTGCTACAGACAGACGGATGTCAGCTAGATTTGTCTGGCCTGGCATTAGCCTAAATGTGGGCAATTGGGCGCATTCTTGCATGCAGTGCCAACGTTTGGAGATTCATTATCACAGTGTTACTCAGGTTGGATCGTTCACCACGCCTGGTTCACGTTTTAGCCATGTTTATCTAGACATCATAGGTCCATTACCCCTTCAAATGACCAGTCGTAGTTGCTCACTTGTGTAGATCACTTTAATAGTTTGCCAGGGGCCACCCCTAATGCATACACAGCAGCTGAAATTGTTTATCGAGTATTCGTGGAAAGATAAGTTGCACAGTTTGGATGCGTTATATAGTGACAGCTGACCATGGACAACAATTTGAATATGTAGTCTTCAAAAATCTTCTGTAACTGTTGGGATGCAAGCGTATGCGAACCACGGCATACCACCCATCAGCTAATGGACTAGCAAGGCTTTTTCGTGGACAACGCAAGGCTTCTTTAATGGCCATCAATAACGCCAGTCAGATAGGTACTCTTCCTCTAGCCCTTCTCAGCATCCCCTCCATTCTTAAAGTGGACATGCACCTAGTTTACGGAACCACACAGCGTTTACCTGGTGAACTCGTTTCTTCAGAAGGCTGGGAACCAAGTGTTTCTCGTGTTCACAGTTGCACTAAGTGTCTAACATGTTTTATGCGGTGATTCAACCAACTCCGATACGCGTATAAAGCAAGAAAGTTCGGCTGGATGCTAGCCTTCAGAACTGCTCCTACGTTTTCGTGTGGTGTTACGTTGTTCGCAAGCCTTTGCAAGCCCCGTGGGATGGACTTTTCGCAGTCATCAGTAGGGAAGAACCAAATTTCGACACTGACTCCAGGATATTGTCAGTGTTGATCTATTAAAGCAGAATGTTTTGAGTGATAATCACTACCCTATACTCCATCAACACCGGGAAACCTCTAAGGTTAAAGCTCAAACCAGACGTAATTACTGAAAACCACTCAAACTCTCTGTTACTGTATCTGGCGCCAGTAGTAAAGTGCCTTCTACACGCACTGGTTGGCGTGTGAACTGACCTAAATGGTACGCAGACTTTCTCAATTAGGTCACTTTAACTTTCTATACAACTCGTATTTCTCATGTACTGTAATCTTATATAAGGACAGCCATGTATTTGGTTTTTATTCGCTTTTCACTTTGTACATCACTGATAAACAGGTTTTAACAAAATGCTCATGAAGAAAACAAAGAAAGGGTTTCGCGGCTTCCAGCCTATTTTTTAAATATCTTTTCTATTTCTTTTATGGATATCATTCGTATTTATTCTGCTTCTGATAAGTTCATGCGTTTAGAGTATTTCATTTTGCTCCTGCTAACATTTTTCTCATTTTAGTGTAGCTACAAAACCCCGGATACTGGGTGCAATCACTCACTGACGACGCCATAAGGATTATTCTGCAGTTTTAGCTATTTAAACTTCCCACTTTGTTAGCCTTCTTCATCGAAAAAGTACCTTAGAATCGATTGTTGCTGGCATCCCACAATCCCATTGAAGGAGGCTTCTCGTTTGTGCGATTTTAAGTGTTGTAAGACTTTGTTTCAATATGGATCTGGACGCAGAATATAAGTAAAGTCAACACTGCCTGAAACATCAAGCCTGAGAGATTATCCTCACTGAAATAACAAAATATAAGTAGTTGAAGTATTTATTACTAATAATAGTGACCTCACGATAACCAGATCCAAAATCTTTGTAATGAGGTTGTATCAAGTCGTTCACCTCTTTAGCACCCATTTCTTAGGATTTTGGAACAACCCCGTCTTCTTGTTAGATTCCACAACAGAAAATCTATACCTTAGGCTGGTGTTGCTCGAATGGACGCCGTCAGCCTACCCTAAGAAGACTGTCTGCTCTTTCAAACGTAGTTTAGCTAGACAAATCGGAAATACTGGGAAAATGCTATATTGAGAGAACACAGAATCAACGAAATGCAAAAACAAGAGTTTGAAGAAAGTTAGATACTGGGGAAGAAAAATGGAAGACCTCAGGGGGAAACGAAATACGCAGATAGAATAAACGGTAGGAGAAATGATTTAAAAAGGATATTTATGGTATCGGTACGGACTGAATCACGCAGACGCTTCGTTTTGGTGGTCAGATTAATGCATTGTTTGATGGCGTTTATTAAATTACCGATCTTACACACTGGTGATTATTATGTAGATACACCCTTCGGAGTTAGTAGTCATCATGTCAGTTTTTCAGACCAATGATGGTTTAAGTTGATCTTCTTCAGACTTCCTCTCTAAGGCTCTTGTCCCTTTTCAAACGTGATGGAATGATACTACAAACTTCTAAATTTGGCTACACCTACTGAATTAGTATCCCAGATTTAAGTGTATCTAGCAGCCGGAGAGGGAAACAGAGAGCGATGTTAGCTTCAGCTGTAACTCCTTACTAAATGAAATTCGTGCTCAACTTTTCCGTCAGGAGTAGCTATAGACTCCTCCCTCGCCCCGCACGTAAGTGGTTGTTTGTATATTAACAGAAAAGGATGTTTGTTATGCTGGTGTGAGGACGAGAATAACCCATCATTCCTACTTGTTCAGTGCCAGTCCATTTCCGATGACCCTATTCTGCAATATAATCGGTCTTTCTGCAACTTAAAGTAGTCATGTGCCTTTTCCAAGACCTCATACAACCTGGTATCATTAGCATGAATGAGTGCTGAAAATGAATAGCAGAATATCAAGAGTAGTTCTTTACAATGCTCTGTAGAAAACTTTATTTCCAGTTGAGGATAACGCATTCTTACGCATTGTTTTCCAGTGATTTTCCAGAAAACGGAACGCCAAACCAACCCGGATTTCCTCATCCCAACATTGTTGTCAGTTATGCATCGATTAGGTCAGGTCCACAGCACACGACAGATCTTCCTGAAACCTCTGTGATCCTATTACAGGGTGTATTTAAGACCTAGATGTATCGCACATGTTTATCAAACAGTTAGAATTACTGCACACAGAGTACCATATATTTCAGAGACTGGAATTCCGCAAATACACATAATTTGATGACCTAAGGTAGGAAAAACATTATTGAAGAGTTCTATCTCTATTTCCGTTCCCTTCTATTATGTTTATTATATTCAATCATTTTAAGGAAACTAATCATGAAAATCAGCCACAAGCTAAGCTTAAACTGAAACTATATGCTTTTAAGTGTCTAGCACCAAAATGAACCACTTATGCTTTGCTGACTGAAGATGGTCTTTAAAACTTGTGGAGGAGGTTTTCTACGAAGAAACCTCATCTACCAGTTCAGGCGTTGTGGCATCATTTAATACAGCCACCCTAAAATTCGGCCAAATCATTTCCATCCCTTACTATCCTCCGAAAATTGTTAAGGAGGGAACAGAAAATCATTCAACTTCAGTTGAAATTAATGATATCCATTCGCCATTACCATAAAGTCGAAGAAATAGATAAATGAAGCGGCGAAGGAATGAATTAAGTAACACTTTACCATAAAAAGTAGTGCATGTTATCCAGTAGTCCCTTAAATGGAAGCTACGTCTGAGAGCAATGCAACGTTGTGAAATCTGACACTGAAACATAGCCTTTTATGATAATCTACAGGTCGGATTTTGGGTGCTGAATTAATCAGATCTTACGAATCTTCTCCACTTCAGAAATTGGTAAATCTAAGCATCATTGGTTAACTTGACATTGAAAATGTTAATTTAAATACCTTATAGGACCAGGGAAATCATGAAGGTCGCAATTTCTTATATCTCATCAATTTCAAGGTCAATGGGTTCGTGGTAAGATTAACTCCTTGTGTTGTTGCTATTAGTTTGGCGACTCAGAACTATGACAGACGTAAACGAAATTACCTAATGAACGGATTAATTATATTGAGCGACCATTCAGATCAGTCCGTAGTGTATAGGCAGAATTATAGTTATGTAAGACGTATATTCCTGGGATGAATTCACAACATGGTCTATCATACCGACAATTTCGGTGATAATGACGCCAATTCCGTCTAAAGTTTCTAGGTCCACTCAAAAAAGTGAATCAAAGTGACGAATGAGTCAAGAATCACGATGACTTACAGTTATATCGACAAATTCATGTACTGAAATTGCTGTAATCTGAATAATGAGACCTCGTATTAGAAGTTAAAAGGTTTCCTTGGAACATATAGAAGAATTTTATCCTATGTAACTAATTTTTAACATTGCATTATTTGTATATATATGTACCTTCTTTCAAATTACGCACTTCCACTTCAGATTCATTTTATTGGTCGATACAGATTTGTTGGGTTCCTTTTGGGCTGCTATAGTTTAAAGTCACCCATAGTTGAATGTAACTGGCTCTGATACGTTGGCTCGCATGGAACAGTATCTGTGATCTGCTAATCCGAATAAATTTTCTGTGATGCTAATATATAGTGAATTATGTTACTTGCTTACTGAATGCTGTGGATTTACTGGCGTCATCCCGCCTTTCGTGAGCCAGCATTAGGAAGTTCATAACTTAGTTTTTAGTAGCGTCATAACCGCAAATTGATGGTATAAGACACGTTTTCAAGACACGTTCATACATATAGAAGAATAGTTAAATTATCATAGCCAAAATCGCAGTGACTTAGAACAATCAGTCATAATTCAGATACGGAAAAGTCGTATAATAGTTGAAAAGCCATTGAAAACACGATATTTCGTTGTCGCGTATGTGTTTTAAAAATGTCTCCCTGTCACTACTGGATGATCTATAGGGAAATCATACCTTGCGCGATAGATGCATTCATTCAGGTGACTGTAGGTCATGGTACTTTGAGATCAGATTCAGATTTATTGGTTGAGGATAGAAGGCTTGGAGCCTATGTTAATCCTTTTCTAGTAAAATTCTGTGGTTGTCCAAACCCTTCTTGAACGAATCAACTGAGGTTGCAGACACCACTTCTTCTGGGAGTCGGTTCCAAGAGTTTATGACTCGGTGGGAGAACCAGTACTCAACAGCAATATGATTTCTTCTTGGCTTTTGAACTCTCCTGCTATGTCCTCTAAGGTGTTCCGACCTGGTGGGAAGGAAAAGAGAAAATAGGTCAGGTCCGTAGTCATTATTTAAAATTTTAAACATTGTGATTAAATCTCCTCTCTGCCTACGGTATGACAAGGAGAAGAGGTTTAAACTGTCTAGTCTTTCCTCGTATGATAAGTTAGTCATGCCATGAATCATACGTGTTGCTTTCCTTTGAACCCTTTCTAGAATAAGTGAGTCCCCTTTTAGACAAGGGCTGGCGGCCTGGATGCAGTTTTCCAGTCTTGACCTCACCAGAGATGTATATAAGGAGGTGAACATATCTCTGGTGATTCTAGTGAAGGCTCTACGAATTGCCCATAATGACCTGAAACTACGTGCAGCCACCGCGCGACAGTGTGCTGTAGTTTTTAAGTCGTGGCTAACTATGACACCTAAGTCCAAGTAAGTCTGAACTGATGGAAGTGTAATTCCCTCTAGTTCATAAGAGCTCGTGCTTGCTTGTCCAATGCGCATGGTTGCACATTTTGTCACGTTTATCGGGAGCATCCATTCTATGGACCACTCTGACAATTTGTTGAGGTCCTCTTGCAACGTGGACGTGTCACTGTTGCCCTTCAGCTCTCTCCAAATTTTTAAGTCATCTGCGTATAGGACCATAGGGGAATCGGTGAGCAGAGATAACTCATTGATATACAAAATAAATAGGAGAGGTCCAAGTACCGTGCCTTGTGGCACTCCGCTGCGTACTGCTGTCCAAGAGGAGAGTTTCGAGTTGATCCTAACCCTCTGCCTCCTATCTATGAGGAATTCCCTGAGCCAGTTTAGTAAGCTGCCTTTGATACCAAGACTTTCCAACTTCATGAGTAGTCTTTTGTGAGGTACTTTATCAAAGGCTTTGCTGAAGTCTATGAAGACGACGTCAACGGGTCTTCTGTTGTCCCTGGATTTAACCCAGCTTTCTCTTGCAGTGAGAAGATTTGACAGGCATGAGAGGTTCCTTCGGAAGCCATGCTGTGCTCTTGATAATAAGCTTCTATTTTCTAGATATGCCATTATGCTTTTCTTGATGATTCTCTCCAGTGTCTTAATTAAAGTGCTGGTGAGACTGATAGGCCTGTAATTTGAAGGGCTTTGTCTTGATCCTCCTTTGTGGATGGGGGTTACTATGGCGTCTTTCCAGTCACGCGGTAACACTCCATTTTGGAGAGAAAGCTTGAAGATCGTAGTCAAAGGGCCGGCTATGTGTGCTGATAACTCCTTGAGAAGCCTTGGGTGAAGATTATCAGGACCCATTGATTTCCCTGCATCTAGTTTCCTTAGGCAGTTGAGCACGATGCCTTGGTCGATGTCAACGGAATCTATCCCATGTTCTTCTGATGCAGCCAGAGCTGATCCGGTAGGCAGTGACGACTCCTGAGTGAAGACTTGGGAGAAGTAGTTTGCCATTGCTTCTGCTTTTTCTTGATCTTCTTCGATTGTATCATTGTCAATAGTCAGGTTTGGGACACCATTGGATGTTTTATTCCTGAAGTTCATGTATGAGAAAATTTTCTTAGGTTGTGCCTTTGCATTTTGAGCCAGGTGTGCTTCAAATTTCATCCTTGATTTGCGGATTTCTGCAATAGCTTTATTTCTAGCAGTGTTATATAATTGCCTGGTCTCAGAAGTCTCAAGTGTGGCAAACAAGTTCCAACATTTGTGTTTACGTCTAAGTAACTTACGAATCTCTCGGTTTATCCAAGGAGGGCAGTGTTTCCGACCCTTTGGGACAGACCAGGGGATGAAAGGTTCAGTTACTTGGGCGTAAAGTTGTTTAAATTGGTTCCATGCGGCTTCTACTTGAGACTCTGGGTTGATGTACCAGTTTACTGAGTTGGCTGCTGAGATGATTGCATTTATATCAGCTTTCCAAACGTTTGGTCGAGATGGGGTTTTGGCCCTTGCTGCCGTTGCTGTGAACTTGAAAGTGAGCACAGCATGGTCACTTCTTCCTAAAGGAGGGAGATGTTGTATGAGATCTACATCCTCACCATGGGAGAACACTAGGTCCAGAGTTGAGGAGGAGTACTGTGAGTCATAGCGCGTGGGCTTTATGATATGTTGGACTAGAGCTAACGATATACTAGATTCCAGTAGTTTATAATCAAAGGAGTTGACTGAGGATGGAGTTGTTAGGCTCGTCCAGTCAACTGTTGGGGCATTGAAGTCGCCAACTACGAGACTTCGACATTTCGAGGTCCAGGAGCCTAGCTTCTCTATCAGGAAGTCATCTGCACTGCAGTTAGGACTGCGGTACATAGCAATGAGGTCAATGTCTTGGCCTATGCATTTAAGTCTGCAGCGTAGAAGTTCGCACGACTCACTTTCGTGAGCGAGTGCTTCGATACTACGCACGGTTAAGCATTTCTTGAGGTAAATGACTACGCCACCTCCTTTGCGGTTTAGTCGGTCTACCCTATGCACTTCGAAGTTTGGCAGGTTAACTTCGCTGTCAGTGACATCGGGTGTGAGCCATGTCTCTGTGATAATAATTACATCCGGGTTTCCGGAGTCTATCATGTTAACCAGCTCAGTCCGTTTATTTAACAGGCTGCGGGCGTTTGTGTAGCAAACTGTTAATCCAGTTTGGTGCTTCCCCGGCCTACCCACAGAGGTTTCGGGATCATTAAACTGCGAACTTGAACAACCCGAAAACCCTTAATCTTAAGGTTCTTTTCGCCGTTTCGGCGTCGTTCGCTTAATTCTAGGGCCGCAGACTGTCTTTTGATACGGTCTGCCAGGCTTAAGTCGGCGCGGACATATATGCCTGATCCTTTAAGTATATGAGAGTTGCTTAGAATAGCATCCCTCTCTTCTTTAGAGTTTAGTACGACTTTGAGGAGACGTACTGGCTGACTTACTGTAGGGTCAGGCTTTTGGCCTATTCTATATACACTGTGTATAGTGATGCCTGATACTGTTTGTGGCAGTAGCTTGTCTAAAAGGGGCTTAACCAAGTTAAGGTCATGCTCAAATCTAGTCTTGGGTTCGGGGGCCAATGACTCTTCCACTTTGTGGAGAATGAGCGACCTGTCAGAGAGATCAGGTTTGCTTGCCGTGGTTTTCTTGATCTGCGGCGTGAATGTCTTCCTGTCCTTCGTGGGCAGTGTGGCCAATGTATTGTCCTTATCTCGCTTTTTGCGAGAGACTACGTTACGCCATTCATTTGCGTTCTCTTCACTAGTCGTAGCAGGATTTATCTGCCTGCTACTCACCGGTGTGGACGAGGCTTGATCCACTAGTACCTGGGTGACTTGAGTTGCGGGTTTACGACCCCTGGTACGCCTCTTCTTTGTGGCAGTCTTTCTGTTACTGTCACTGGAGGGCTTATCCAGTATCGTGGGGGCAGCCTGGGTGACTGGAATGTGGTGAGTGCTCTTCTGTGCTGAAGGGCACTCAGTCATTGACAAAGACTCATTAGGAACATATACTGTTCTGTCGATGACGCTAGTCACATCTTCGGTGTCTGAGAAGCAGTTAGTCTTCTCCTGTGATGGAAGACTCTTGCAGTTCATGAGCTTTAAAGCCCCGCTAAGAGTGGCAATGGCTTCTGTAATACGGAGTTTGGTAGTACTACAACAGTCATTGCACAACCAGTTTTCTAGAGGTTTACAGCAGCGTTTGTATGCTGCAGGAGTTAGGTTTGTGCACATACTGTGAAACCATCTCTTGCAGTTATCACACTGCATTCCCTCATCCACTGGGAATTGGCACATAACCCTTCCACAGCGGTTTTTTTTGATGGACATACTGTCTAGAACAGACTGGCGAAGAAATTTAAATATAACTTAGATGTGTATAGACCTTTATAAGTCAGCGATAAAAAATCAATGAGTGCACAAAAATATATATATAACTATTATGTTATAAAAAACAATTTCCTATAATTTAAATAGACTCGGATCTGAAAAGTAAACTAACTTTGATCAGAATAAACTGATTTAAAGTTAATCTGTAGACTTTTGGAGCGTATAACACAACAAAAGCCAAAACTAAACAAGAGCGTGTAAAATTCACTCCCTTTTCAAAGTTCAAAGTCCATTGATATTTCTTCTTCTTTGACGTACTCATAACTCTAACCATAACCCTAATTCTAACCTTAATCGTGAAAACCGTAACCCTACCTAACAGTATACATTTACAGAAAAAGCACCTAGGAAATATTTAGAATACTGTACATGCCCCCGCCAAATCCACAAAGGTAGGCATGGTTTGATTTGGAATAATCTTTCATAGCGATCCCTAAGTCTGATCGGCTCTTGAAGGTAAACTTTTGACGGACCTTGACTTTGGCTATGATACTTTAACTTCGTCCATATAGGAATAGATATGTCCAAAATTGCATTTCTCATTTAACACGTAGTATTTGGACAAGTTATGTCATCTATACCTACAAGGTACACAGTGAGTTTTCTAAGTTGACAGTTCATTTTTCGTTGCCACCATTTCAAGTATTTATAAGAGGATTTTAGGTATAACAACCATGACTATCACTTGTCGAAGTTTATTTACAATAGTGAAGATTTGTTGCTCAAGTATGGGATTTTGATGTGTCTGCATACTGTGAGCTTTGATCATCCTTCTAGACAGCATCTTCGGCGCAAACCTCAGTATTTACCTAGAACTTGACGTCTTTGTTTCGTAGCTTACGAATTATTAGCTGACATTTGATATATGATAGTGTTCCTGTTTATTGCTTATTCGTCAGAGTACCAGCCGTGTGGATTTTCTCTGCCATTTTTGGTGTCTCGGCGTTTTCCATGTGCGTCAACATGAAAGCATACATGCAGTCTTTTTTGACCCCTAGAGTCTAGGGGACGTCCATTGTGACCAATATATTTCATGTCACAGTACATACAATTTATTTTGTAGATAGTATCAATCTTGTCGCACTCTGATTTGGGATTTTTGTTATGTATATCGTTGAATGAAGTAATGGTGTTGGTTTGTGTGTGATATCTAATTCGAGTGGTTTTGGTGTTATAGTCATTGTCTCAGAAACATTATATATGGTAGGGTGAATTTTCCTGTGGTTTCTGAGGATGTATTCATACTACCAGTGAAGTTCAAGTCTAACTTCCTGAAAGGTACTTCATGGAGATTGTCATTCTTCTACTTGTGCAGAGACATCGGTCATAGAAAACCAAACGGAAAGTTGTTACAAATACTCCGTATCGTTGTGAATAGCGCCTTTCTATTAGAATTTATTTGTGAACAGACTCCGCTGCATTGAACTGAACACATATTTGCAATGTCTTACCTCACGATTACAAATTTCATCTGTTACAAAAATTGATTGTAAAGTTATTACAAAATACATCTGTCTTGTATGAACCAATAACTTGTACAAACTGAGAAAGGTGGAGCACTGTAACTCAACAGTATAATCCATAGTGCCAGTTGCTACTATTATTTTCAACATTTGAAAAATATCTCCTCTTGTTGCTGCTGAGTGACTTATGCAAAAGAGAGTGAGCTTGATTAATGCAGCTCCTAACACATAAAGATTCTGGCTTTTCAAAATACAAGATCATCCGTAGCAATTTCCCATGAAGGCTTTAGATAATATATTGAAGAGCTTCGTCTCAGTTGCATCCAGTTAGTCCTTGAGTGGAGATTATGTAAAGGTATTGACAATAATCTTAATATTTTCATTCATCCGTATAGCTAACAGATTATTTGTTACCGAGACCCGATACTTTTGTGAGTTTTCTCCTCTAGAACTTACTGCTTTCCCTATAATAGCAAAACCGAAAACTCCAGACATCTTTAGGATGAACTCTATACTATTCCCAGTGTTATATAGGTAGGATTAAGCTAAAAACGGCATCTGGTTCTGAGTCTCAATAATACAACACATCCAAAAACTGAGTTTTTGTCAGTAAGTACTGTTGTTCAGTTTTACAGTGTCTTAACGTCACAAGCTCCATTATAAAGTTGGCAGCGTAGTTGTAAGAGAATTAGGATAGTCTTTCTTGAAATCGTCGCTAGCATCAGTCACATTAACAAAAGTTGAAGAAATTGTCTAGGCAGTAGTGAAAGGAAGGTAAGGAGAGGTAAATGATTGAGCAAAATAACTTTGTGTCCCATGAGCGATCGTAGGTGGTTACTCTTTACCCACTGTACTTACCAAGGACTTTGATTATTTTGCAGTGCCACCAGTAGGAAATTCACCAGTCCTGGGTGATTGAAAATTCCGAGGAATAACCGCTGGAAGTTTGTTATTTGTTTAGGTGGATTTTATTCCTTGTGCAAGAGTGCACAGCAATATGTCATTTTGAGATGTTGAATTCTTAAGACCAGTCTTTTCTAATACTTCAAATTGAGAGTTGACATAACTGGCTTACGGTACAACCTCGCCCTCAGATCTTCACCAAAAGCAAGATACTTTCCCCATGATGACAAATACTTCCAGTTTAACTAATAACCAGCCGAACATTTATTCTGACCAGATTAGCTCATTGTGATATGATAGATCACTTAGTCAAAGTTGGGACTGTCGGTCGGGTCTGAGTCATAGCACGCTAGTAGTTGAAAAAAAAAGGATCAAGAAACCTGCCTTCCACGAAGTCATCTTCAAAATAACAACGTCTACCAGAATTTAGTGAATGTTCCCACCATAACGTTTTTACGTTAATCTCGTCTAGTTATTTTATGCTTTTCTACAATTGAGTTTTCTCAATATGGTTGGATTATACGACCTGAATTTTTTTATTTCCAGAAAATGACCAATGAATGTGCACCCTGCACTTGCAAAAGGTTATTGCTTCCATATTTTTGTACTTGCTAACTGTTTGAGAATGACTGAGAATACTGAACTTAAAAGGAAGTGGAATTATTCCTTATATGATAACCGTGGACTACCTGATAACTACACTGACTCTAATTTTCTCTCTGAGTTAAGGGAAAACCGTAAGTTAATATCAATCAATAATTTCACACCTCACTAGTATTTCTACCGAAGCTTCGTTTACGTGACGTTATAATCGCCGCTGGGAGCATTTATCAACAACTCTGTTGGTACGCTTTATTTTCTGTACATTATTTACAAGCTTATGTTTATTTATGGTCATCTATTTCTACCTACTTCTTGGATGGATCCAACCCTGGTATCTCAATGTTTCTCACTTCTTCATTATAACCTCCGGGTATGCTATGTTTTGGTTGACAAAAGAAGCGAATGAGAAACAATTCCATGAAGGTAATCATTTGCTCAGATTATATTGCCCTCATTTTTCACCTTGATAAGCAAAACCATTCATACCCTGGTGGTAGAACTTGCATATTACAATAATGTCAAATTCCAAATGAGGTATTTTATCCCATGTAGCACCTAGAGGCACACTGTATGCTGGTTAATGCTTTTGAATGAAATTATTCCCAATAACGTTGTGTACACTTAGTCCTGCTAAGAATTCCAACATGCATACAAAGTTTCCAAAACCTAAATGTTTATATTCCCCTCCTACTGTGTTTGGTATTTTAAATAAATAGCTTCGTTATGTGCTTCTTTTCTGTTTCTAGTAATTCATGAAATTAGATCTGGTGTAGTATTTTTCACCTTCTGTCTCCTACTTGCTCCAATCTTACATTCGCTTTTATCAAGTGTCAGTACAGACTCCATATACGCTATGTGCATGTTTTTCTTCCTCGCCTACTGGACATGTTTTGACTACAAAACTCATTGGCAAGGTCATCCTCGGAAACCTGGTTCAAATACAATATCTTTGAGTTCTGCTCTACTGGCCGCACTCTGCCTAGCCAGTCGTCTACCGGACCCATACCACACTTTTGCTTTATTGTCGACTGCTGTTATTTTACTGGCATTGTGGCCGACATTAACGAGGAGGTTTCGCGTAAGTGCACTTCATAACTTTTAATGATATTATCATGACTAATATATCACAAACCTTAAGTCTGTATGTAACCTAATACGCAATAAATGTTCAGTAACAGTTAAGACTCATTTCGTCGAAACATAGCTTTTACGCACCAGCCTAAAAACTACAACTATTGTGTGATGACAGTACCCAATCTCCGAAGTAAAATTAGTTAATGCAGGATTTAAACCCAGAAACATTGGATTAAATTCGGGTGCAAATGAGCCATGCATTAAGATGAGAAGGGACGCAAGAACTTATCAACCTATATTACTGAAGCATCAAAAAGGGTGACGAAGAGAAAGAGTAATATAGTACAGTAATTATATGCATGTTCCTGTACTATCTCATCATGCTAATTGAGAGCCGACTGCTTAAATCAATGAGCGACATACCTTCAGTGTACTGAATCAATAACAGATACTTCCTCAAATCAAAATAAATAGCATTAGTATTGTTCCCTTGGGTTCCGAATGGAACGTAGCGCTTCAATAGCGTATCTCTACTTAATCGTATTTTCTAGCGTCCTCTTTAGTTGGCCCAACAAATCAAAGTAAAACTGATGATATATTTTGTAAATACATTTATTTCATACAAAAGTTTTCTTACGCGTTACTGAAACGGTTTAAGCCTTATACACTAACTTATCATTTTGAAGTTTTTATGAACATCCAACTAACTTAAAGTACTGCCTGCCTACAGTTATAGCACGACGCAACTGTAAACGCAATTTCGGTATATTAACAGGATGTCATAGCGTCATAATCCATCATGCGCTGTCACAACTTATGTACGGCTCACAAACTATGAGAATATTTACGATAGCACTAACTTGGACTACACTACTCTCTGCTCAACTTCTTTCTTCATATTTCAATTTATTTGCAGTAATTGTTAAAATAAAATTAGTCGCAAATATCCTTAAATTTTATGAGTTTTTATGGGTTAACAAATTAATGACTGCTACTGGAATAGACTTCGTCTGATTGACTCTAAACGACAACCCATTTAAGTAGATGTACGGTGCCTAATAATATATATAATATTATTGCATTTTAGGCAGATTTACATTTTTGTAGAGATTTTTATTCATACTCTAGAATCATGGCGGTGATCGCGCACAAATATGCTTAACTGTGGTATCAGGCTCAATAACTTTCCTGAGTGCTTGGCCATTAGTGTACAATGAACTTTCCATAGAATACAAATGCGTATTTTTTGGTGCATTTTTAATCGCAACGGTATGTCTCAACTTCGTTGGGCCATGGTATTTGCTAAAAATGCATCGAATTAAAAGGTTTGTGGTTTTATTAATTTAATTTAAATAGTAAGTAAGGGTTTTGATCTAAAAATTACATATGTTTTGTTGTCTTTCAAGTCTGCGAAGACAGTAAAAAACCAGCATATAATTTCATGGCATTGCGAAAAACTATTTATAAAAACTGAAGCAGCCTAATACGAACTAGCAGGAATACTTGAGATTGCAATAGTTTGATTATCATGTTGTAGAAAGAACAAAACGTGTGTCAGTGGTTGGTACTGCGGAACATCAGCAAACAGACGTATTTGCCTGTTCCACTTCTGTCGTAATCTAATATAGGATAACTTATAAGTTGTGCCAAATTTAGGAATATATATCTGGTGCACTCCCTGAACATGTTATCACTTGATATTATTTCCATTTAACTTGGTCTTACTTACTTACTTAAGCAAAATGGTCTCAAGAAAGTAAAACTCTGTCGAAGTTTACTTGATCTTACAAACAAATAACTGACCAATGATTTTACGGTACATGGGATTAGGCACTTGAATTTCAAACAGTGCACCTATATACACAAGCGTCACCAAAAAAGTTAATTACGAAGCAGTGTCGGAAACTTTTAGAAATCGCAACTTTCCAGAACGCTTCCTTATGTTTACAAATCGGTCAGTGGGAGGAACAAGCCAAGCTCCAGGTTTTTCCTATATATCAAAAGTCACTTAATAAAAGGATAAAAGGTTCCTCGAGTGGTAAAGAAAGTTATTAGTAAAGATTGCAGTCCTCAAAGTAAGACTGTCCCGAAACTTGTGTGCTGATGTATACCAAAACCAATCACATTATTTTATACGACATTCAAATTTCTGCTATGCGTAATCCTGTTTCTGGTTGCAGAATCAATGTACCTTTTCCTATAATTACTAAACATTTTCAATAAACATATAAGATAACTAAATTTATACATATATATTTCTCCATTTTAATAACAGGACAATTCATGGACCGTGGGATGAGGCTACGATTGAATAAACATTGTAGAAAAAATTTATCTATTTAGTATATACAACGGTATTTTGTACAAAATTAAAATCCTTTGCTGAGGAGAAAATTAGCTACCTCTTCTTGGAACAGACCTTCGATTTTTATGCAGCGTGTAACTTCATCCACCTGATGAAGAAACAATCCTGCTTCACACTTCGGTTGCAGAAGCGTTCGGAGGTCTTCAGCAAGTGCCTGTAATTTGATGAAAAAGTGATTGGCATTCATTCTTAATAAAATTTGAAAATATATAAAAATTAAAATATTCACGTGTCTTCATTACATAAAACATTTCCGGGAGATTGAGTAACTCATTCAGGTAACTATATGAAATCGCATATTTGAGAGAACTAAAGCGAACATACTAAGACTCGTCCATTTACATTCATGACCTGACAAACTCCCACTGATTTTCGCTATCTGAAATAGTCAAGATATTTTCAGTGCACATCATATCACCCATCTATATTTTGCAGACAGTCAAATTGACATCTGAGGAGTGTATAAGTCCGAATTGAAAGGTGACTGGTTATTAAGTCTTTAATGTCCTGTTTCCAAGGCTTCGCGAAACGACCAATATGAAAAAGTGTTTCACGGCTATGGAAGTTGTGCGGGTATTGATTATCGTTAAGCTAAGTGCATGATTGATTACTGATATAGTTAGTAAATCACTTAAGTCGTTTTTAACATGTCCAACTAGCTACCAATGTGGTACTCGGACTTTATACAAGTTGTGGAATAAAAATGAAGAAGTTTCACCTCATTCTAAGTACATAGATTAGTAAGGAAAGAACTGTGCAAAGACTAAATGTACGGCAGGCATATTATATGTGACGAAATGCGCTTAGTGTGCTGCATTTCACATAAACTTATTTCGACAACTAGTAGTGTAAAGTTGTACAAAGGCTCTCATCAGCACATCCAGACTAAACATGTTCAGATAAGCGGTTTTCATAGACCTTTAGTATCTGTGTTACGCTACACCTACATATATCGTCTCATCAAAAGCCAGAGACGCTCGATCACCATCTCTGGAATATGAGTTACCAACAATCCCACATTTATCATTCCCGTGATAATTTAATTTATAGAGCATAGTAACCATGATTGGCACTGTGACCAAATAGGTAATCAAATCATTTTGACTGCAGTAGTGTAACAATAGGATTTGGTCGTTTTAGTAGAATATATTTCCATATTAGATAGGCTTATTTGGTATGACACAGTAATACATCATAAATAAGTGGGTGACGTTTCGAGCCCAATTAACTGGTCGTGATTATGTCAATGTATATCACATGAACTCATAACTGGGCCTTATATATAGCCTTACTCCCTCCATATATATATATATATAGGACAGATGTTACGTCGTTTTCATCACACGTATTTGGTGTTGACGCTAAGAAAAAAAGATTCGGTGATTGACCTCCGCCTCTCCATCTAACTGTATGCAAGTGGATGCATTGTAATCGCTAAGCTTTCTTCTAGATTATTCGAGTTAACATGGTTAGTCGTTCTAGATCTAGCTAAGTTCTTATGTTCCAATAATCCGATTGATCGCGATCTACTAGTTTGACCAATGTAATTGACCTCACAGTTATCACATAGTATCTGGAAAATTATACCACTTTTCCTAATTTGGTCTATCGGATTTTTAGGCCGAAGAATTTTGTCTCTGAATGTGTTCATTCGCTTAAATGAAACCCTAATTTCAGCCCTATTAAAAATCCCACACAAGGCCTCTGATGTTGCTTCTTTTTGTGGCAGTACTGAAAGGGCTTTGATTTCCCTATTATTCATACTGTTTATACGACTACTGTTTTTCCTATGGGTCTTCATACGTTTTTGAATAAAGTCGGGTGGGTAGTTGTTTCCTGATTGTTGAACTTATGCTTCAAACTAAACCATTTCGACTAATCCAGAGATGAGCTTATTCATAAGCGCATTACATTGGCTATAGATTTTTTTGATCTTATAACCATGTCTACAAGTTTCTTAATATCCTCATATGGATCTGTTTGATTCGATAATTACTATGTTTTTGTCATTCCTCGAGCGTTTGTTGTCGTGATAAATTTTTTCTCGCTTTCCTCTACTGTCCCAGTGTCAATGTACATTTCGGTCTGACCTGCTCAACAGTTGTCTTAACGGTTGCGCTCAATGCTAATTCTACACTATGAGTGAAGTCCTCTGTCAACAGATTCATTGAAGTTTTGTCCTCCTTCGAACACTCATCTCATCAGAGCTTATTGATCTTGTTCATTGAATCAAAGTGAATTACACTTTATCAGGATAGAAACATACTTCTGCACTACAACGGTCATATGAATGGTTGCGTTTTTGATGGGACACATTCGTACTAGAGTTAGTTAATACTTAGATGAGGAAGTCACAATAGGATCTGTGATTCTTTCAAGTCTGAAAGCTCATGAAAAGTTGTCATCATTGTAGTCAGACTAGGATGAACTAGTAAATCAATGAGTTAGTTGGTTGGGTAAAATCCGATGTTTTAGTGTGTTGGGATGTAACAGATATTTGAATATCACCGACCATGATCAGAGATGAAAGACTTTTAATTGGTGAGTTTTTTTAACAATAAAAATAACATTGGTATTTGGAAGTTTCATAAGCGATTGATGGCACGATTTCAAGAATCAAAAGTTGGAATAAAGTATAACAGAGTTGGAAATTGGAAAAAAATTTATCTTTTCAGTGAGGCACGTTTTGATTGTTAGCCAACAAGTAAAAATAAGCATCGTTCCTTTATAATACGGTGGTGAAATCTTGTTTCTTATATCATGCGGGACACATCGTAAATTAGCCCCGGAAAAGCTTGCTTGATGTTTTTAAAACCAACTCGTTTCTGCAGAAATTAACTATTAGTTCCAGAATAACATTAGAATTGACGGATTTCTGTTTACTCTTTTAGTAAATTAAAGATACTAAAGTTCACTCATCTTTCAACTAGTATTTTCATAACCTCGGTTAGAACTATTAACGGTATAACTCACGTGCATATCGCCGTCTATATGTCGAATGACTGTTAACTGCCGGACCCCATGTGAACGCTCTTTCTGTTTTCGTTGCTTCTCCATGTAGTAGACGGGTAACATATGATTCTTCGACCTTCTGACAGAATAAGGTACATTTTTCGACAAGTCCGCTTGTAAAAATATATAAGGGGAAAAAATTTCAGTATGCAAATATAGTTCTTCATTCCAACTTTGTATTTCTTTTACAAAACATTAACTCCGATAAAAACGATGTTGATGATTAAATAGAACAATGTCCCAAGGCCACAGTTTCCAAACTATTTCCAAAAGTTACTGCTATGATCAGCAAAACTGAAGATCTCTTTGCTAAGCTTTCCGTGTATTTCAAAATACTAAATATTCTCATTATTCAAAATTAAAAAAGACACCTATACGAACAATATTGTTTTTGATTAGATCTTCATCAGGTTTTACTCTAATGTACATAGCTTAATATATATGAAAAAATTGTTATATATAAAGCTATGTGCACTAGTATAAATTCTGAAGGTCTAACAAAAAACAATATTGCTCACGTGTATGTCTTATTTCCGTATATTTGCTTTCTTGTCAGGAAACGTAAACCCGCAGAAGTTAGCATAACATGATTTCCTTAAACGGTAAACCACTTTCATTGAAATTTCCATATTGAAACATGAAGAATTGGCTACATAGGGATTGAGAGATACTAGAGAAATAATCAATCTAAGAGATCACCCAGCAAAGCATCCTCTGACCTACAATGACACTGACATCTGAAATAAGTGCAGAGAAAAATGGAGTGGATTTTAAGGTGCACTTCCAAGATTAAAATCTTGAATGTAAAACCTGTGCAATTCGGTAACTTATTTCAGAGAGAATTCATTTCAAAGGAACACATGTTGTCAACTATGAGTTCTGCCAGTAATTAGACAAATTCTTACAAGTGTAGCTGATGAAAACGGATGTCTACGAATGATTTTTTTATAAAAATAAAATTACTTCAGGACTAATCTACAAAACTCGTAAAGAAAACAAAGATAAAACAAGACTGCAAATGAAACATGACAGTAACAAAGACTGTAAGGTTAACATACGGTTAGGGGGAATCCAACCACTAGGAGTAGGACCCGGTATACCTTCAGGTAGCGGAATCTTATTTCTCTTTAAAACTTTTTCCACCCATACATATTCTGCCTTACTAACTTCATAATCTACTGGTTTTCGTTTTGACAATTCGTCATCATTAAGAGATTCTTCAACCCATGGATTTTCTAACGTCGGCCACCACTGCACTCTTAACTTTCGATTACAAGTCTGAAATCGTAGGTAATATTTATAATTTCTAACCTGTACAACAGAGACAGGGTTGAGCATTTTATTGCAAATGAAAATTCTTGACAACATATTATCTGTCCTTTACTAAATGTTTCGCAAACTTCTTATGATACAAACCACCTGCAAGTAAAATAAACAAGTTACTTTTATGTGATTATCTAGTAATCAAATGGAAAATTGCACGCTGGAAGTCTCGGGAGTGAAAAAGATAAACGTTCTTGAAATGCAAAATACAATAAAAATGTATAACATATCCAGAATTATCTTGCTTTTACTAATGTTGACGTCAATTCCAGTTATTTTTTTTATTAACGCATGTAACATTAATATTTGCGGAGTTTTTCTGTCGTTTACTCCTGACTAATCTTATATTTACACATACTAAAAACAGTTAACATCACAAATATTTTCGATCGTCTTTAGGCAACATGTTTTAATTCTGTCACTTTTTGTAACATGCCGAGCTCATTTGAAATCATGTACCTACCTCAGACACACAACTCAGTAGCACTAATGATTACAATTTATTCAGCTTGGAAATATATTTCAGTATCGTGAGTGTCTTTGTGGTGAACACACCCCATTATTACAACAACCAGGAGAAAAGACAAAAGAATTAGTACAACATCAGTGGTAGGTTGCAAACTATTATTTCTCTCTTGGAAAACAGCCATTAATATTGGCCAAGCCCACGGTGAATGCCTTTACCACAACATCAGCAGCCAACTCGCTCTAACTTTAACGTAAACTGAAAAAGAGGATGACTAGTTATATCGGAGATAAATGATAAATTCCTCAAAAGCTCTGTCTGGAATTTGGACTGTTAGTACACCAATTTCACGATGCACTAGCTCTGTGTGTACAGTAAGGATACATAATCACTAATTTATTTCCTTAAACCTTTAAGACATACACCTAATAATTACTTATATTCAACATGAAAAGATAAGAATTAGTGGGTGGAAAACAATGCACATCCTCACACAGAAGACCAAGTTAACAAATTATGTATTAACACAAATGAAACAAAAATGATGCATATTAACGAATCTACGTGTGAAGGAGACTGATTCGATGAAAATCAGTCAAGATGTTTGAAATTTTAGTGTATTCTCTGAACTGAGCTTTCACTGTTGTTGTTGTTTTTGGACAATAACTAACGGTGTTGACTGGCGTCACTAACAGCATTAAACAATTGGTCATTCACTAGTTGAGGGTCACACTCAAGAAGTTGACACTAACCCTCCTCCCCAGATGATTCAGGCGAACAGGTCTTGAACTCACCACTCCCGTCTCGCTTTAAAACAAAATAGGTTGACACTGCTAGCCCACAGTCAGTGGTTCAGAATGTGTGGAACAAGTCGCAGCTACGTAGGTCTGAGAATAATCCCTATCTTATCTAATTTTATGTCTAAACAGTCAATTAACTGTCCCACAGAGGTAGAATTATAACTTAGTCACCCAGGCCACGAACGACACTTTTTGTATGAGTTCTGCATATGACACTGTCCAGCCACCTATGCTAAAGTGAACAGGACGGAGTTCGAATCCGGGTAATTTTGTCTGAATGTCATACACCCAAGCTTACAACAATTCTAAACTTATTCTAACCTATTCTTCGATAATGCCTTTTTATCGTCAATAAAGATTTTATCTACCCACTAGGTACTGAAATAACGCTGATCGTGCATAAAAAGAGAGCTGCGTGGTGAATTAAATCTTTTCGTTCCTAATTAACGCTAGTCCGTGCTTAATATGTCTTGTGAGGGCTGGAATAAGGCTGATAAGCAAACCAGTAGGTTCTGATTTACTCCTGAAAATGCCTAGAAAATGAACAGGGTGCTGAATTAGTGCCAGTCATGCTGAAAGCCAGCACTGAGTTTTAGTCTGTGCCATTAAAGAATCCATTTCAGAACACATTCAGAATTTACTCACTATAGAATGTTTGAATTATTTCAGAATCAGTGAGATTTAATTCAGCATTATAGTAAGCTTGGGCGGAACAAGAAGCTAAAAGGGCCCTTGGTATGTAGCCCATTGTTGCATCGCCAGTACAGAGATTTTCTCGACAATCGGGTAAAGTGATGCGTACCGTTTTCCTATCCGTAGAGTGGTTAACGCAACTAACTATTCTATCCATTTCTTGAAGCTAAAGACAGACCAGTTATGCAGAATACTTTACCACGACAAAGAAAGCGTGAATTTTGTACCAATTCAGATGTTGATTCAAGACATTCAGAAACCTACAATTTCAGTGTTTTCATCCAAAATCACAATATTTCCCTTGCACAACCAGTCACTTTGTGATTATGGTCCAGCTAACATCGGCCATGACATTGACACACTGAAAAAATGTAAGCAACACAAATTAAAGATCATAAGCACTCAGGAAAACAACAGTCCGCATAAATACCTCTTTATTCAGTAACGCAACGTTTGAAAAGTCTCTTTAATTAATTCAATTTTCCATTAACAAGATTTTGTAATCCTCTCTTTCTGGTCTTGTAGAATTACCTTTTAACCTGGACAGCCCAGTATTTTTCCTTATTTTTGTGTCCCAGGGGTGGCAATGACAGCTATTTTATTTATGTAGACTAGCTGACACCTACCAAAAGCAGTAGTCGAAAACGGAAGGCAAAAGAAGTAAGAAAGAGCAGAAATCAGTAAACATACGAAAAGAAAGTTAATGTGCGATAATATCGCCAGACTAACAATTCAGGTGTACACTCTCGTGATTTCAATGGAAGTGATTTATGTTTCCCTTCATCCATTCGCTCTCTGAAGCTGGTGGTTTCAGAATACAATTTAGCGTCTGCTTGTTGAGGTTTCCTAAGGATGAAATATCGAACGCGATTCCAATTTACTCAAATTATTCTAAGTAGATGTAATTAGGGAAATTATGATTCGTATTTACCCCCGGTATTCACTTTCCTTTTTCCCAAATATCGTTCTTCAGTAATTTGCGTTCGCCTGACATTTAAAATAAGGAGAGAAAACTTCATCCCTGAGTAATCCATTCTGCAAATAAAATCACTTTGAAACCTTATCATTCATTAATCTCAGTGTCCATGATTTTCACACTTGCATTCATGAAACTTCTCAATATTCTCACTAATTTAGTAAACCGTGGTTTGTTTATTTGGCGTACGACATATATACAGCAACCTTAACTGCAGAATGGAAAACTCTGCACCAGTGTGTGATAGAACTAATAGACAAATTACTAAAGTGGGATGTTTAATAACTGTCTAACATATCAGACTAGTTTATGCTAACTACAAAGGTTGTGCTAGAAAATATGCACAAAGGTATAAATAATCGGCAAATTTTACTTAATTAAATCAAGTTAAATGAAATTTAGGTGGTTGAGATGCCATGCATAAAATCCTGATTCCATTGTTTGCATTTTTGACTTTGATATTTAGCGGAATTAACGAACCTAAATAATGTTGATTTGAAAATATTTGGTAGCTATAATTGTGTCAATTTGATCAGTCAAACTTCCAGGGAACATAAAGTTTAATTATCCGATAACTTCTGTATCGTAAACCGGACAAACTTCTTTGTGCTCGCTTCCTAACTTTAAGGTAAAGGCTTTTGGTCTTTGTTGAACTTCCTTGTAGTGTGTCCGCTACCCGATCGTCATAATTTTTGTCTACTCCAGGATGAGTTTGTGTCACTGCATAAGTGCCCACCCCCCGCTTGATGTTTTCATGAATGGTAAAGTGTTCAAATTTGGTGATAAAGCGTTATAGGGGGAAAAACGTGAATGGGAAAGAAATCTGTGCTCACTGCACTTTTTGCGTTCTGATATACGATCATTCCTGGGCTGCCGCAAGAGAGCTCCTGGTAACTTGACGGCACGGTATCTGTGAATCTGTTGTTCCTGTCATTTATAACCTTGTAGGTAGTAATTAAGTCAGTCAAAAGTCAAAAGTAACTAAGTGTGAAAAGACCAGGTTCATTTCGCCTTTCGTCATATGGTTTATTCCGGAAGCCCATCACCCTCTTTTTCGCCCGACTATGCGAAATTTCCAAAAGATTGGCATCCTTTTAAGTAGCGGGACAGCAGTGATACTGTGCACTTAAAGGTGCCGACTTACGCTTGTTTTTTACAAACCCATAAAACCCCTGGAGTCATCGCTTCTAGCCTTCTACGGGTAAAGTACATAATCACAGACACCCTCGCTACATCAACTACATGATTAATGGTTGTTATCATTCTTCCGTTGGAACAAGACCCAAGTCACTCCCTGACGTTAGGAAGGAAAAATTAAAATCTACGGCCTACAGGCACTTGGTCACACTACTTTACATGTTTTCTGGTCGGAAATCGTAACACTGGAAAATACCCAGTCTTCCAGAACTTTCAGGTCTACCTGAAGGCTGCATGAGTCTTCCGAGCACTTTATTTTTCTCTCAATTTTTGCACAGCCATCGCCACATGCGACAATTTTGCCATCACGTAATATCAATGCCAAATGTGTTATGGTAGATTTTTGTATTTAGTCGTACAAAGCATTCCGTGATTGCTTCTAATCCCGCAGGATGTAACTCAAGGCAAGATTTGAGTATGGAGCGCACACCCGGCGTAGCATTTTATAAGCTGGTTCAGCACGACGCGGCGCTCTTTACTGCCCTCTGCGGTGTGAAATAACCATTTTCACCTAGTACCAACAAGAAATTTACATCATATGCATGGCAATATTACAGACACAGTGTGGCATGGTATAAAATACAACCGTTAAAATAACAATAAATAAATACTGTTTCAATAGTTTAATTTTTAATAATCCTAACAGAAGCAATCAAAACAGGTCCATATGGATGCTGAAGTGCACAGCTGCCAACAAGGTCAAAATCGAGATTGAAAGCCAACCTAAATTTCGTTGTTTTTACTGCGAACCGTTTCAGTCGACTTCTGAACAATCATGATTTAACTAAGCTCTATTTCTTCGCGTGACCGGAAGCCATTTTAGGGAGAAAAGAATATTATGAGAGGGGGTAAATTGAAATGAAACGCCTTTTGAGATATAAATCATGAGAAAATATACTTACGGTAGATAAACGCGAGGGAGCTATGTCATCCTGAAGATGATGACATAAGTTTGCAACGTATTATCCTAACCAAATAGGATCAACTATCGAAACCATGATATTTCCGATATAAGAATACCTTTCCCCAAGTAGAGTGTTGTTTTAGTTGTTTTATTCTCCAGGACAATAGGCGTTTAATGAAAGATGGAATACGAATGAAAAGAGCAACTGTTATCATTATAAATTCATGTATCTGTATTTAATTATGAGCAAGTAGGAATTATTGTGAGGTACATAGTTCAGTCAAAAAAGCCTTGAAGATCAGAAAAAGTTGCAAATGCTGACTCCTAAGACTACCCACGAATCTGTGTACAGCCCATGAGGTCAAATGTGTATTATCATTTCAAGTACTACATAGCTTCTTCTTGTATTTATCTTGTAAATATACTTCCAATAACGTATTATTCATAATTGCATTCTGTACCATTTTTCAGCTGTGCCAGATTTTCTTCACTTCCTGAAATAGCGTTCAAGCACGTGGGGGCATAGCACTCACTCAAATATATGTTGTTTATCGATTGGCCATAACCATCACCAGGAAATGGAACGAAGTTTGGGTTGTCATTCAACTTCAATGGTGACCTTCGTGAAAGATTTACAAATTAACATATATAAGAATCTGTACTATAATTCAAAAATTTGAACTTTTGAAAAAGTGATAATCTATGCTAATTCACTATTGTAATTTGTAACATAATTGATCGGGCCTGTAAAAATGGCATGCATTTCATGTAAACTCATACGTTTATACGAAATATATATTATTATAAAGCTTGACAAGAAATTGGGCGAATTGTGGGGTTTCAGAGGGAGGAGAATTATTTGTCATTTAGATATAAAAACAATTGTTGTTTTTCAAATATTAGGATCTAAGCTTACGTTTTAATCTCGAGCAGTCACCATGCACGGGAAAATCTCACTTAGGTAGCCTGAGGAAGATTCAAGTGCAGCAATAAAAAGGAATAGGTAGAATACAAGAATTAACAAAATGTAATCGCGAAATTAGAGACTTGGTGATACCTGATTTTCTCAACTTCTTTGCGCAAGACGTTAACCGATATATACTTCTAGAAACTTCAATGACATGGGGAGACAAAAGAGATCAGAGTAAAAACATAATTCAAGGTATTCAGCATTCGATCTAGTTACAACTTGTGTCTTTAAAACAAGAATCATAGGAAAGAACCAAATCAAGTAGAATGCTCTTGTGTCTGAAAATGAAATTAACAATCTGACATAAGAGCGCTTTAGGTTAAAACCATTTGGCAAGGATAACTGGCTGCTTTCTGATAAAAAGTTATTCATTTTAGAGGAACTGACTGTAAGTAGCTAATGTGGAAACAGTCAGATCATCGTCATACTTAACAAAATTGGCTTCTTCAGAATGATACCATTCATTTTAGAAGAAAAAACAGAAAATCAATAAAACGGCAGCTGGAGGAACACCAGCTAGAGTAAGTAAAGCAGTGGGGGACTTCTGAGTATATACAGCATACTGCCAGAAAAGTAAGCATGTAACCACTTATTAATCCACCACCTTGCTTGTATCGCGGCAAGCTTATTTACCAAAGGAGGCATAGGTACAGAATCAAAGGCCTCTAAAGTATACCCACTATGTCTATAAGGAAATTGTTTATGGTGATTAAGAGCTTTCAATGAAATTTCATCGTTAAGCAAAGTCAGTTTTTTCCATTATTTTTAAAAGTGATGAGGTAATTGGTCTAAACTTAATACTTGGTGATTTAAGCAGAGAAACGACTTTAATACACTTATAAGAAACAGACACAATATTAGTGAACAATGACTAACTAAAATCACCAAGGGGAAGACAACATAAGATGTCCTCACACTGTTTAAGGTGAACATATACCATAACATCTGCTGGATGAGGTAGGTGAAGGACTTATCAGCGTGCCATTATACATTGCTGAAGGATCACTGTTTATTTGCTTTCCACTGGTGATTTCCTCAAATAGTTTTCACGCATTTGATGCGGTCCCACGAAGTAGGAACTTTTGGTTGTACAATATATATTTATTCCCTGTATATTTTATTTGATTAAAATTTTCAGTATTTTAACACTCAAATTATCGGGCATTCTACATTATTTTTCTCGGCGAAGCGTCTATAGACAAGAAAAGGAAAATGATCAAATATTAACATGTGTCTCTTTCGGACCGCAAATATCCTAACAGCTTCTATGTACGGTTTTAGAATAGATGGTCGAATGACATAACAACCTGGGGTTTTCCAGGTTTCTGCATTACCATTTGGTAGGTACTCGTTAGGTTATCTCCTGACTAATGTTTACATCAGTTCCTGAGTTTCAGGTATGCCTCATGGTCGGTCTGAGTCTTGATGAGTCACTACCTCTAACAAGCCTCTCGCTTTGCCTGAAGAATGAGCTACGTGCCTCTGTTTAACTATGAGGATAAATGTTTTAGTTTGTAGTCTGAGTGGAGTTACGGTATCTGAGGTTGCTGATAACTGAGTCTAGCCTGTGGTCCATTCTGTGTTAGAAAGTCTTCACATTTCGGCGTAGTCAGCTTTGCTATTTTGCAAACAGAGTCACGTAGCATCCCACTGTAATCACTCACTAAGAATAAGATCAGACACTATGGACGGACGGTCACTGCTACATACAAGGGTTATGATTTGAACGTTTTCGACCAGTAAGTGGTCACGAGTTATGGCATAATTCAGCTTTGATGACTTTCTTTTGGGGCCCCACCTAGCACTGTCAAAAAAACTCCCAGGTAATCCTGCATTTCTAACAGTGCGTAGCATATTTTGACATGATTTCATATGAGTACACGCCGATCCTAGGCTAAGTGATGGATCTTTGAAAGCTCCAGTTATGGTAATTTGATCATGGCCCAAGTTCCGTATCTCTGTGATGGTACTGAGCAGTGGCTAGTTGTGCTATGCTCCATAGGAGTGTGGTCGATAGATATCACCAAATAAGTGTTTGGCGTGACTGAAGGTAAAACATCACCATCTCGAGTCTTGGGTTTCATTAGGGGTTGGGCACATCTGAGCCACTTTTCGGTGTATATGGCAACTCCGATCCCATCCTTTTGGTGGCCGCCTCTCTCGACCAGAACCTTCTCACTTGCGCTGGCTTTCTTGCCGGCAAAATAAGCCAGATTTCTCTTAGTTTTATAATTTTGAGGTCCAGGTGAGACTGCAGGCCTCTGAGTTCGGCTATTTTTCCTCTCGGCACTGTTACATCAGCATAAAGAAGGCCGGTAGTCTCATCACCTCAGCACGTTATGAGGTGTTTGACGTGGTTTAGACTGCTGGTTTAGGAGTTGATGCTGCGACTAGTTGGCTGATAGAACCGGCCTATTATCTTTTTCCCTCAGGCCCAATTCTGACAAATTGATTGTCATCCTCATTGTTGCACCACTGTAGTGGTGCTGAGGTATGAGGACGTACTGTAGCCTCAGTTTATTACCTCCTTCGGGCCCGAGGTCAACCTCCACAACATCCTACATATGTCCATCAACTTTACAAGTAGTCTTGTATCACAATATATAACAGCTAGTGGGAGTTGAACTAGATGGCTAGTAGCCTTGGGGAGCTGACCGATGTAGATGAATTTGACGAAACAGTCTCCAGATAGAGATTGCCGCTTAACCACCAACGTCCACTTAAGATGACAGCCATCTCCATTGCTGTATGTCATGCGTGTGTTTCTCTCAAGTAGTCTCAGTCTCCAGCTCCGGAACACCATGTGTGACCATGAACGTGGAGGTTATTAGTCCGGGTGTTGCCCATGGCCTATCAGATCTCGTCTGTATGTTAGAGCTTCTCTTCATGGTTAGTGCTTGGGACATAAATAATTCATTCTCATAATCTTCAGCAGGGCTCAATTCATCCTTTATGTGGGTGGTTTACACTAAGATGACTAAACACCCCTGCTATGTCTGCCTAGCTTTGCCGGCTGGATGTAAAGCGATTGCTTGCTGCACATGATAGACGACTGCGCCCGATCAAACAGTCACATTTATTCTGGTGAACCTTTGCTTAACACTACTTCATTAAACATGATTAGACAATTTGATCGGCTAACCTCGGATTTAGGTACGGTCCACAGTTGCTTGCCTTCCCTTCTAAAATCTGTGACCTTAGACCTCTTGAAGGTGTTATTCATCCGTTTTGCACTGCTGATTCCATGTTTGATAGGGAATGCAAGCAGTCTGTTTAAGCACTGAAGTTCCCTTGTGCTCACACTTCAGTGTTTGATGGGTTTGCACTAGTATAATGTCTACCGGATATGACTTCAGGCGTCCTAGTATTCTGTGAGTATTTAATCATATTTGGGTGAGGTGCAGTATCATGGTTAGAGCATTTGACCAATTTTCTTAATGTGTTGTTTTTTCCGGTGAAACACTGCATGAGGCTGTGTCATGGCGACAAACTGAACATTTGTACCAGCGTTGGTGGCACAGTGGTTAGGACTGGCGCCGACCATGCACATAGTCTGGGGTTCGATCCCCTGCCGGTGCACACCTGATATCAATGGTCTTCCTGCAAAATTTGGTGTACCGATATCACATGCTGAAAATTCCATACTTGTACCAAAGATACTGTGTGGTTTCAAGCTATAATCAAAATAAAAAAAATAAAAAAAAATAATGTGCCTTTGGCACTCCCTAATCATACTGACAAGACAAACATCCTTGCAGAAAGTGCTATCGAATACTGGGCTTCTTTTGCAAGCAGCAGAATTACAGATCTGATGGTCGTGTCCACTCCCATAAAATGCCTTCAAGATCATAAGTAGTCTCGAGCGTTTCTTTTTGGTCTATTTGTGTGTCGCACGCCTCCTCATACTAATGCCTCGATACCTGGTCGACATATCTTGAAGGGTAATAAATTGCAAAAGTGACATTTAGTCCAAACAGTTATGAAGAACATTTAAAACGTGCATTATAAGGTATCAAATTACACATCTTTCTCAAGCCGTGGAAAGGAAGACCCTAAGATTTACATGTAACATTTAACGTGGTAAAGTACCTTGTTTAAATGGCTTGTACCATAGTGTTCGCTTACATGAAACTTTTGAAACAACGTTTGAGTTATGACTAGTATTAAGGCTGAGGGGGTTATTACAAGAATAATCAAACAGATAGTTCAGCAGTGTGCTGTGAGAGGACATGAAGTCTCGGAAACGCTAGTGGCTTTTATAGTATGTAAACATTAATTTAGACATGAAATTGTGAATTAGGTCAAAGCAGTTGTTCTTGATCCGGATTCTGGATTTTTACCCGATAAGGCATTGGACAATGAAGACATTAAAAAATTAATCGAAGTAAGCCACAAAATAACTGTGTCCAACTTAGTAGTTATGTGTCGGCAGACTTACTGACCAGGAGTGTTTATCTGTTGACACTATAAAAATGCAGGTCTTCTTTGAAATGAATCATCTTCAAAAAGGTAAATTAATTATTTCAAAATATGCTTTGGACTTTAACATTTTGAGCCCAATTCCAATAAGTTTAGGACACACTAAATAGTGCTAAGTAGCATTAGTCAAAGCTTCACGGCGTTGCTTTCAGCTGCTCTCTATTTAAACAAAGTCTGCTAATTAGTCCTTATGGTTTGACACCTAGGATGTGTTCAATCTCTAAGAGTAAATGTATCTTTATGCCGCCATTTGAATACTTCCCTAGTCATAGTAACACAACAAAGTAAAGAAATTAAGAAGTGATCGTCTTGATTTATGTTCCTGTAATTTGTCTGTATAACATACCATAACCCATAAAGAAAGGTATTTTCTTAGTTTCCCTTAAGGATTTAGAAAATAATCGGTCAGTAATTTTAAAGTCAATTTTGTCGTTGGGATGACTCGAAATTTTTAGAATTTGGCAATTACCTGTTTCGAGTTTTGAAAGTATTTAAAAATTACTCTTATGACTGTCAATCAGTTATCTCAGTATGTGAATATTAACCGCTGTCATATTTGTTACTTGGTAAATTCCATCTATTGTCTTTTATTTACCCTTTCTAAAAGGATTACATATGTCCGTTTCATCGGCAGGCAGTCTGTTCTAATCAATTGATACAAATTATTTCACTTTTATCAGTTAACCTGCATAATGGTTGTCTAAGGAAAAGCATATCAAGACTCATAATGTTAAAGTAAAAGATGTACCCTGCTGCGTTGAGAAAAATAGCATTCTGTAATAAAAGCAGGCACTGACACTGATCAAGAAGAACAATCAGATGATTAGTTAATAGGATAAGCACGTAACGGTTGGGCTTCAGGCGAAACCCAAGATTGTTTAAAAGTCAATCTGTGTCCCATGGTTGCAGTTAAGTACACTACGTCTAACGATTTTCTTGGTAAAATAGTACCTTCTGCTGACTTGGTTTAGATCAATTTAGACCGAAACCTATGTTATTTGTAGAACCGTTGCCATATTTTCCTCAGCTTTTAACAAACCCCCTTTTAGTAAATTACTGCCATAATAAGACCTAAGATAAGTGATTTACAATTTTATCCAGAGTAAACGATTTTGAGGAATATAAAACAGACTGAAAAAAGTACATATAATCCAGTAATACTTGACGAGATGTCTGATGTTAGTCTAAAATACTTGCTAGGTGAATTTTTAAATGAACATCATCGTGTGCTGGAAAAGCGTTTGGAGCCTGTGTTACGCGATGTCATTGACAGTAAAGCTAAAATGAGAGAAGAATTAGAGGCAGCTTATCGCAGTATTATATCGGCGTTGTTATTGCAGTCGGGTCTTGGATCTCCAACAAATATGGAAGTTGTGAGAGAAACAACGGGTAAGTTACATATATTTTGGATATTATTTTACAAAAGACTTTATTGTCGATTTGCGTACATACACTAGAATTTTCCAAGGACTCTTTATCGCTAACATTTCACTTCTCTAATACACAATCCCTAAACTATCATAAGTCTTCATATCCGAATTCCTAATGCTTTTGAACCATAATACCCAATACAGTCTTTCCTTAACTGCACAGAGCATTTCTGCAAACAAGATAACCTTTATGCTTGGTACAAGTCTGAAAAGTTAGAACAGTTTTTAAAAGTATAAATAAACAGTTGCTCTATGTGTTAATTGTAGAGTGAGACTGCCTAGTTTATTTAGTTCTGCATACCTTGACGTCAACTTTTATTGGAAGACCGTCATCTAAGATCTATAAAATTCTGACTTCTTGAATAATTTTTAAAAATTGCAAATATTTTTGTCAGACTTTTATGACACGAAATAACCGAAATGGCACTTTTCAATTCCCTGGCTACTGATGGTTATAATTCTGCAACCGTAAAAACTGAAGACTTTTTAAATTTCGCATATGCAACAGAAAGGAGAAATAGTATAGTATCCATTCAGAGTGAAAGAGTAGTGAAAACAATACTGTATTTGTTTGTTTTGCATGAGAATTTTTTATTCAAATCCATGATTACGTGCACATATATCTTCAGAGTGTTTAAATGATCAAAAATGCACTTTCAGTACAACTAATGAAAAGTTTAGTGAGACATCAACTGGAGGAATTTGCTGTTGATCTGGAACATGATCCTGATGATACTTTTTAATTAGATTTTACTGGTAATTAATATAATTTTCCTTATTAAAAGATGACCAAGAAGTGAAAACTTGTGCATAAACTGAGAACACTAAGTAAAACGTAGTATAAAAATATAACCACGTGAAGAAATGAAATGCTTTGGATAAAAAACGGAAAAGGATACCGAAATGTTATCATTTGAAGGAATTGAGGCTAGGGAGTAGTCATCTACATGAACAGTAACGGACACATAACGCTTCCTAAAATGTGTTTCTTAACCTTGTGATTGATTTTATATAATTTGTTTTCGGTGGTTTTTTCTTTAAATTTTGAAGCTGCACTACAAAGTGTATTTCCACAAACGGATATCGCAAACTTTTTATCTGCTAATCCTGGTCAAAAAAGGAAACGGTTGAATGAATTGACAGGTTTGGTCACTGGTATTCGCTTGTATAACAAAGACTGTAACAAAGGAGGAGCTGGTATTGATGACCGTTAGTTTACACTGTTTTGTCGGGGTGATTTTTCTAAAATATTATTAGCATTGCACCAGTTAATACCAAACTAACCGTGAGTTAGCTAATAGTATCTGACCAGCTTAGAAGCTTTTTTCAAATAGCGACATCATACTCGAATTCCGCAAGTGAGAACTTTGATTGTATACGGTAGTACTTGTAATGTCCAACACCTTTACAATACACAATGAGTATTTTTCTTTTGCAGTATAACATCTTGAAAGTGGATTTTCCACAACGACCAAAGTAGATATCACACGAAACTATATTTACTTATGCCTTGTGTACATTAACAGCCTGGTCATGATTTTATCTCAAGTATTGAAATGACTAGTCATTGGAATTTAATCAATTTTACGCTATCTGGTTTCTAGTGCTGACTTAAATTTTCACGCAAAATTTCAATTTGCCAGACAAGTTTAGAAATTAAGCATCTTGTTGCGCTTTAGACTGACCATTGGTGATCGATGACTACTAACGGAAAAATGTGAATTTCGGTTTTGGCCTATGGCACCAGTAGACCAGTGGTGGCGTTTTTGACTGCACTACTGGGTCAAAATTTATTTGAATTTTTGACTGGACACTAGTTCTGTTTAGAATGTAAATGAATTTTGATGACTAGTATTGTGAAAAACAAAACTTATTTTTTAATGGCAACTTATCGATTACACAGAAATAGCTGGCAGTCTAATTTGCAGACACTGAAAAGCAATTAGCTGAGTTTTCAATGCTGACCAACTATATAAATCAAAATAAGTTGAGATTTTAAATAGTACATAAATATGCTGAAAATCTGTTGCACCTACCTTATCCTTGGTAATTGTTCACTCAGTGTTCGAAGAGTTCTATCAATAGTTTGACAGTGAGATTAAGTGTGACTGGTTTTTGATGATTAAATACAGCAATCACGAAACTGTCTTAATATAGTAGTACCGACTTTTTGAATCTTTCAAATCGCTTTGGTCCTAATATCCTATTAAGAAAATGCGCATCTCGACGACAGCCAACGTGTGGGATAATCAGCTTTTAGGCTTCTCCTTGATTACCCTTATTCAACTGAAATGCGACCTCTTCATTTACTTAGTGGTTATGTTGTTCTAACTCCTCGTATTTTATTGTAATTCTAAATGTTTCTAAATTCTCAGGTGTGAATATAAACACATCATGCATGTACGTACATATATTGTATTTATTACTTTCAGTTCCCCACTTACTGAGCGAAGGCTTACCTATGACTCTGAAGACAGTTCGTGAAGAAATTAAGAAGGCTAACGAACTTGCTGCCATCTACACAAGTAAACAACACTTATAAATGATATAAAAAACTGGTTGAAACCCTAATTATGAATAGCTGTTTATAAATTATTTTAGATTTTTTTTTCCGTATTTATTCCCTAACTTAATAGGCTTTTTACTCTCTCGTTTTCAAGTTGTAGGATAGCCACAACAAATTTATACTTTCATTATGTGCTTTACTATCAGTTTTAAGTTCACTGAATTCTTAGTTATCAATTAATTTCATTGGTGTTTATGTTACTTAAACAGTTCTATTAGCAAAAGTAATTTAGTGATAGAAATTAAAAAGACGTACATAAAATGCGCTCAAGCATTTAAAGCTGAAGATCTTAGAAATATTAAGCAGTCCTAGACTAAACTGAAGGTAGAATTTTAGCTTAATTTACAATACCTCGTGCCATGACTTTAAATGACGATGGGGACAGTGTGCTGTCAATAAGTAATTCAGTACGTTTGCATAAAGAAGCAGTTACGATATTATTAGACAGCAGAATTTTACCAGAACTCCATTATAAAGCAGTGGTGAATTCTCCCCACATAATTGGCATTCTCACTGTAATGTTGCTAGAGGGAAATCGATAGGAAAGTTATTCATCAAGTGTTTAAAAATTAAGTTACGATTAAAAGAAATCTATAAATGGTTTGATATGTAACTAGTGATACTTCTTCTTTACTTTTAACTCACTAGGTCTTTCTTATTGTTTGGATTCTACTTAAAGTCATAGGGAATTTTAAACACCGTAGTACTATTTACCTAACACAACACGGACTACTACAAACATTTAAACAAAAACGAAAGCATCACTAACAATAATAAATTATTTCAGCTGCTGATTACCCATCATTTAAGGATGCATGTGTAGTCTACCCTCAGTAAACCTCATTATTCAGCAGACTTGAATACTTGAACACCTCTGAAATACCGACCAACCGAGGGACATGAAATGAGTGGAAAATAAAAGAAAATGGACAAGTAGCGCCAGTAACCTTAGTTCCTGAAAATCAGTAGTGCTCAAGTTCACGGACGCTTCCTCATTAAAATACAGTGCTATTAGGAAAAATTCTAGCTGCATATTGTATATAAAGTTTCCTACATAGGAGTATTCTCCTTCTGGGCAAACATGACGAGGGCTATACGTACAGTTTCTTGATGTGAGCCTTCTGTTGTGTATTTGTATCCATTATGAATGTATTCACTTTTGTACAGATCCTATTTGTCCACACAGGCTAATTCCTCTTACCGATGAAGGCACTTTGATAAAAGCACATAATATACAAATATATATGTATATATATGCACAAGAACAAACAGATATAATGGCAACACACTTAGTGATTACTTAAAACTATTAGTTTTAATACCTAGATTTATCTGTTCTCCTTTCACAAGGTCTTTTCTTGAAACTGTCGGCTGTAGACCCAACTTCTGGTGTTTTAAGTTCAGCTAATATTGCTGCTGAGGCTGCCAAAGAGATTGATATCACACCCAATCAATTACGCGCTGCTGTTATTAACGCCAGACAATATGGGAAATTTTTAAGGATAATTGAAAAAGAATTGAATAACATGCTCAAAGGCTTAGAGAAAATGATTGACAGTTTTAAAGGATGCATGAAAAGACTACATACACTAATCAGTGATCGTCCAGCTGTGCCAAGTAGCGAAGTTTATGTAAGACTTTTATGTACAAATACTGACTTTTTCTTATCTTTTCAAATATGTTGTGCACTTAAAACAGCGTTAACTATGGTTTCATTTTAGGAAAATAGAAAACAATAGAAGTTTTCAGTCTTATCTTAATTATTAACAATGTGTTTGAAAGAATCATGGTTAGTATGAGAGAAATAACGTGAATGTATTCTAAGCGAGACCAATTATTCGAATAGACTTGTAAATCCCTTATTACTGAATAGAAAGTTATAGTAAACACTCTGTGGTATAAGGATGGTTCATAAATGAAGCATAAATTTAAAACTTGTCCCAAACCGCAATAGCTTCATATTAGTATGAACAGAAAGAGTAGTAGTAAAAGTAGTAGTAATATTAATAGTTAGAAGAGGCAGGCAAATGAAACAAAGTCGTTATTTACTATGATCGGTGCTTAATTTTATTTTCGAAATATTATCATGCTTCTGATAACTCAAATGTGTCCACCACAAAACTCTGAAGTGCCGACTAGATAAGTGAGACTTTTCTGTTCTGAATGCTGACTTAAACCACATTTTCATTTGAAATTCACTTATTCCCACGTTAAGGTAACATCAGTTAATTCGAAAAAAATTTGTCCAAAATTTTCTTACTAACAGCTATGAAATAACTTGTTTTTGTAAGGCATATGTAAAGGTAACAAAAGTTCCTGATTTTGCCACTTGTGGATGAAGACATCTTAATTTAATTGGTCGGCACAATTTCCATACAATCTGAGCTTAGCACAAAATGTGGGAATGAAACAGACAGGAAATAAAATTGGACTTATTACTAAATACTTTTTTTAGAAAGGCTATTACCTAGTTCGGTGATTAAATGTAATTCCGAATTTATGCTTAACTTCTAACTTATACGTTTATACGTTTTTACAAATTTTAGCCGGGCTTTTTACAACTTGCTAACTGCTGGACTTCTTTTCAAGATGAAATGGTTTTCTTGTCAGTATTGACTAGTACTTTAAGCACTTTACAAACATACTTTGTTGGACGTCGGTTGAAATGGACAAGAGAAAAATTGTGTAATCTTATCTCCGATTCTGAAATCACCTTTGATGAAAACCGTAAAGTAAGCCGAAATGGATGATATTTTTTCTCTGGAGATATAACTCTGTCATTTTTATCAGTAAAAAGTAATAAGAAGGAAATTTATTGTATCATTAAGAAATACATTTGTAATAATTAAAAGAAATGATTTGGAATATACCCATAAATTAATGAACAACATATTTGAAGACATCAAATTCACAAGAGAAGAAGAATTAGATAACACAAATCCCATTTTTAGAAATCTTAATCAGGAAAACTAACGCAGGGAATTTAAAAACACAAGTATGTAGAAAATCAACGCACACACATCAAATACTCAACTATACTAGCAATAACTCAATTACTCACAAAAGAAACTGTGTGGAGTCGTTGTTTAAAAAACTTCAAACACACTGTAGCACTCCAGTATTGAAGAGAATGGAAGAAAAATACCTACTAACTGTCTTCAAAAAGAATGGATATCCGCACAATTCCATCAAAAAGTGTTTAAAATCGAGTCACAACACCAACAAGAAACCATCATCAAAGACTACAAGAAAATTCATCCTACCATATATAAAAAATATCTTTGAAATAACAGCTAGAATACTGAAACCGTTTAAAATAGTCATAGAATACAAACCAGTCCAATCACTTAATTCGATATTGTGCAAACCGAAAGATCCAACAGAAAACGAAGACAACGTTAATATCATTTACAAAATAAATTGTATGAACTGTGACAGACATTAGATCGGCCAAAGTGGGCGTCCCCTTAGAATCAGAATCCAGGAACACAAATCAGCTGTGAAAAGACATGATATATACTCTTTCATTTCAATGTGTGTAGATAATTATGGACATCAGTTTGATTGGGATAATGTCGAAATTTTAAACAGAGGAACACCAAAAGTGCCACAGAATTCCTAGAAGCCTGATACTCAAACGAATATGCAATCAACGAACATGTTAATACAGACCAAATCTACCAACTAATAAAAAGTAAATCATGTGACGAGAAAGTTTAAAATCGAAGTCAATAAAAATGACCAATACATATGTAAAGGTGGGTAGCCAGGAGACGCAATTCTATCACTCATGGAAAATTTAAATCAGTCCACTTTATGCTAAAATTGCGCTGAAGATGTCCAGAAGGTCGACGAAAGCTCCACAACTAAACCAGCCAGCTCAGAGAACACTATTAATTGCAAATGCACTGAAGGTGTTGCCTAGTAGGGCAGCGTAGGGTTCACAAGTGAACCATTCAGCTCATAGAACACAACTACGTCAACATCATCCACCTGACCTACAAATCTAAATTACATTTAGGAAATTATGAACTAGTAGTGGTCTAGGAGAACAGACTAAAATTTAATGAAGTGACTATTAAAATACTTGAAGCAGCAATGGTCACATTACACACTAGGTTTGTATCAAAAACACATTAAGACCTGTCGGTATTGTGATATCCACGTTACAAGGTGTGCCTGAGATTCATGAAAGCGACTTTTGTTCATCAAACTCTCTCTATATATATACATTGGTGAAATAATTGTACTATTCGTTTCTTGGTTTTCGAGTGGGACATATGGCTACAGCGGTACATATCCACTGTATTCTGGCCTCCTTTCAGCTGGTTGTACCAGTACCCACCAACTTTCGTTTGCCGTTTACATGACCCCCTCCATCTTCCTCTAGATCACCCAACTGGTCATTAACGGTTTGAGCTACACTCGAGAGCGTTGTCACTCAATAGCGTCCATGGCGTACGTCCTATCCAGCACTATTTTCTCCCGCATACTTGTTAGGTAATCGTTTCTAGACGGGTTCGCTGCTTTATCCTTTGTGTAATGAACAGGAAAATGATGGTACAGAGATTGGTATTTTCGTATCTTCAAAAGTTCCTCTCTGCTGTGGCTGTTCACATAGTATGCGCAGTATCTTACAAATGGTGATTAAACTATCGTTGTAGTTATCATTTGACATGGTCTACGAGATCGCCTTGTAATCAGAAGATCCTGGGCTCGAACCCCGGTGATTGCGCACTGATGAAGAGTCTCAAACTAGGACGAAACGGCTGCCCAGTACTCCCAGGTTTTCCAGTGGTTCCCTAACTGATGTCAGCTCATGATGAAATCCTCCATCCAATACTAATTTAATTAGTTCAAATGAATTATTCGTATCTTGGTGTTTTTTACATAACTCATACATTTATTCTTCCTAATCATCAGTATCTTGAAAAATAATAGACTCTGTAACCTGTTCTTAATGACTACAAAGTGACCCTTTTGACTTCCTTCCTTAATTAATAATTTTCACCCCTTCCTATAATTCATAATTCCTTATGATATATATATATATATATATATTAGCAGTTATCCGCAATGGAGAATTCACTTCATATAGAGAAGTAGCGCCCCTTATGCATAAATATTCAGAACCAAGTTAACAAGTCACATTAAAACGATTATCAAGTAATTAAGAAAGTGTATATTCAAATTAATTCTAAGGGTGAGACGAACACAAATGGAAGGATACTTATGAACATTAATTAAGCACCATACCACGAAATGATACTGCGACCTTCTTCATTGCTTTGTAGGGCTGTACGACGGTTGCTGATCAAATGATTCATCCAGATATCGATTTCTCCGAATAGCATAAATGGAATATAGATCTGCGTTAGCTTGCTTAAGGATTTTAGTGATAAATTTACCATTTAAATATTCGTAAATTGTCTACGGTGCGTAAATAAATAAGTGGACTGGCGATCATCGGTAGAACATCATTAAGCAAAAAAATAATGCTGAGAGTAATCTTTCCACTGATTTACGCTTACTAATTATAAATTTATGAAAACAGGCAACAGGCTTGGAAACTATCAGATTACTTTGTTTAAACATGTTCCAGTAGACAAAAGTGAGAAAATCAGCCCAAGCACTTATATACTACTGCTAATGATTTGCATATATCTTAGCTGCTGAGTTACACATTTAAATAGTAGCAGTATCATCTTTTGTAGAAACAGATTTTCAACAAGGGATCTCAATCGAAATTTCGCCGACTCTATTGGATAATGACTGGAACATTATTCAGTGATCGATGTGATTCAGTATATAGTGATGTCTTAGACTCGGAATCGAGTTTAAAAAGTCTATATTCACAGACTTTTCATTGAAATGGATAAAGTAACATAGTTATATATAACAATGTTTAACACTATGTTTTGCTTCATTTTAAAGATTTCTCCAAGGTGTCTGAAATTATCTGGTGCCAACAGCATTTCGCTTCTAGTTTACTCAGATAGCATATTCCATTATCATATAAGTCAGCAATAATCCATCTTTAGAGCTAAACAAAATTAAACTTTGCTACCGACCACAATACAGTAATATGTTTATATGAGTTGATCACGGATTGATATCAGTTAGAGAACCATTGAAAACCAGGGAGTACTGGACAGCTGTTTCATCCTAGTTTGCGAATCATCGGCAGTAGGCACCCACTGCCAGGGTTCGAACCCAGGACCTTCCAGTTACAAGGCTAGCGAGCTCGTATACCATTCAGCCACAAAAATTAAGGGTAACTATTTAATAATTAAATAATTAATTCTTGACTCAAACTAATAGTTTATTTACTTATAAAATTATCTCTTGAATTCATCAGAAGACTTTTGTAAACCACAGTGTGCTCAATTAAAAAAAAGATTTTACGTGTTACAATTAAAACTTACTCCTGCATTAATACCTAACAAGCTGCAGAGTTTCTTAAAGTTCCGACAGAATAAGGCAAATTAACTTTAAAGGTGAGTTGATTATCTTCTGTAGTAATTTGAAATCATACCAATAAACTGAGTGTATTTATTAGTGAGTGGACCTTAACAGATGTTATTTCACTGCTGACTTAATATTTCTACATTAATGGCACAAAGTATCTGCACTGTGAGTATTACTAATGTCAGTCTCCATTTTCACTTCCTTTTTCAGCTTATTTAATCAATTTTATGTAATTCGTATTTTAGCAACATGAACCGCTAAGCGAGGAGTGTCGAGGTGGTTATCCATGTGTTTTCCCTCACTCCTCCAAAGAAGATAGCAACTTTGCCATTGAATGTGAAGTAAGTTATCATATGTTTTATCAGTGGCTAAAATTCACCTACTCGAGGTAAGTTTACTGCCAGTTTTATTGATATTATCACATCTAACTCTGCGGTCTTTAAATTATCAATTCTTCAAAGTGATTTGTACTATTCACACACTGTTGGTCTCACTGATTACTCTTATGAGACAAAGCTATGTAGGTTTTAGCTCAATAAAGACAAAATTTCTCGTTTGGAAACAAATGGATTGTATACCACACCTGTTACCACTCTGATAAAACTGTAACAAAAACGGCGGATGATTACCTACAGATTATTAAATCACTGCTTCTTATATAAAACCTGAGTGCATAATAATTGGTTCTTCTTTGCCATCTACAAAAGCAATCTCATTTTCTGACTTCATTACTTTCAGAAGGGAATTCAGATACTAATTACTATATTTTCTCTCTAATTCTATCTTCCATCGTGACTCTTTACTACTAGAGACATAAACAAAAGTTCTACCGATATGTTGTAGACCGTTTGTTCCTGGTAGGAAGCTTCAGTAGTGTTTGATAGTGTGAACACTACCATCTACACTCGTAGTTCTAAATTTGGTCAATACTAAGCGACATAAATTCCTCAAGCATATATTTACGTAGTATCACCCAGTCTAAGGTCTAGTATTTTCCCCACTATAAACGGTGATCGTAGCCCATTTTAATTTAAAGGTTAGTAATACTGAACTGAAATTGCCCTGTCTTACATAGGAAGAGTGACGCCAGTGTTTTATGTATTTTTAAAAACTTTTTACTGTATTCCTTTGCGTTCTGATTGGAACATAGGGCCTCAAACTTGATCTTTGAAGTTCCAGTAGCAGAGGTGTTCATTTTTACGGGATGGGGTTGCTAGGCTCACTTCCAACTTTCCGTCTTTTGCTGCTCATACTTCTAGCTGAGCGAGGTTTAGGAGTGAGTCGGCAGGGATCGAGACCAGAAAAAAATGCATGGCTTACGAGCACTGTAATCCTACACTACCGACGCTTGTCTTATGTATTACTGTCATCAAGTGGAGTGAAGTAGGACGTAAATAAAGGTTACGGCTATAGTGAATTACCCGTCCATGACAAAAAGATGGTTATATCAGATAAATAATCAACTAACTTATTTTCATTCAGTTAATGAAACGCTAAACTGTCCAATAAGATTTACTAGAACATATTGTAACACCATTTAAGATATATACCTCAAAACCTTTACTCTCGGTAATCGGAAACATATTATGATGTGTACTAACAATGTGTATAAACTTGATGTACCTAAGAATTCAGTGAAATAAAAAAAGAAACAATAAATATATTCTGATTGATGTGATGGAGGAACAGATCTCATGAGTAAGTGCATTTACATTTTTATCATTTTTGGAAATACAACTACCGGAGTCAAATATCTCATCGACACTACTTATTTCATGCATGAGTGATAAATCGATTCATGCTTAAAAAAAGGTGTAAGAATGAAAATCAAAAAGTGCTCCCATATTTCAGTGCCATTAGCAGACTAAGGTAAACTGTCATTGTAAAACTCCCGCAAAATATTGCTGACCTTATTAGTAAAATTTTCATCTTTTTTCTTAAGTTCCATCATATTCTGCCAGTGATATGTGCAATTCATATACTTATAAATGTACACTGAAAATTCAATCAAGTTGTTACTACCATTTGTATCTAGTAAATTTTCCTAAACCTCCAACATAAAACAAGCTTTTTAAACGTATCACGTGTAGATATCACTTTGCCTAACGGTAGCGAAACGAGATTCTGTTTGGAAAATTATCGCTGTTCAGCCTATTTGTAACTTTTCATTATAGTCTATCCTCTACAGTTTGTCATTATTCACATTTTTTTAACCAACAATTTGAGCTCGTTCAGGAAATAATTCATGCTCATTTACTAATGTGTTTAGGGATTCTGTATTTGGTCATTGGTTCGTTACCAAGGGTTACTTGTGCCAGCCGACTTCAAGATGGGGGTTATATTATTGCCTTCAAATAATAAAATGTATGCATTCAGTTCACCGGAAGCTGCAAGAGACTTTGTAATGGCGACAGACAAGCAAGTTTATACAAATAAATATTTAATTAAGAATCTTCTAATCTCCTTTCAACATAAGTTAATAACAGTGTTTTTTATATTAAATTGTATATCTAGCACCGGTGTTTCCGCTTGGCGGATATCAGTATTATTTTAGGAAATAACGCTGTAGCCCTATATGGTCCATCAGATAAAGATAACTGCAACAGAAGTGTGTATTACTATGGTGGTAGGACATACATTAATTTCTGGTTTTCATGTGTATTCCTTTCACCTTTTCATCTTATGTAGTTCTTAAAATCAAAATTACTATTTTCAAGTGTTCTCAGCGTCGGTGGCATAGCGGTTAGGACGCTCGCCGACCATGCACATGGTCCGGGGTTCGATCCCCGGCCGGCGCACTCCTTTACCTCGCTAAGCCAGAAATGAAAGCTGGTGAAGAGAAAAGGTTGGGCATGAGGCTAGCAACCCCATCCTGTAAAAATAAACACTGCTACAGAAACTTGAAGCCTCTAGCTTGAAGCCCTATGTTCCACTGGGAACGTGAAGGAATAAAAAAAAGTGTTCTCAGAACTGACTAATACTATTAATAATAGTCAGCAATGCAGTATTTTATTTAAAACTCATGATAAATTGCTTTCTGCTCATGCGAAATTAAAAACAACAATTAAGTATTTCGTTGTAAACTTATCGAATTTTATAGATATTTATCAAGCAATCATTAAATGATGTACTAACTGTGTCGGTAGTAATATAGAAAAAAAATGTGGTTGAAACGTATTTCTAATCTAACTTGGAATTTCCATTGTGAGTTTCCCTGGACATGATAAAAAGTATGAATGCTTCAAACTATATGATGTCTACAGTGTGTTTGGAAATGAGACTGAAACAAGGATGTAGGTTACCATTCAAATTAAAGGTTTATCATTAGTTTCTAGTATATCCAATTGTTGTCATTACGTCTTTTTACAAAGTTTATTGTGGCTTTGAGGAATGAAATTTTAAAAAAATTGTAAACAGCCTAAAAACTTCCACTTGTTTACTTGTCAGTTTCGTTTCATGATTATGAACAATTTGTTGTGTCAGCTAAAGAATTAGTCTATCAGACCACGAGGTGAGGTTTGAATGAATCATAGATTTATGAAACATTTCACGCATAAGTTGACTTTTAGAACTCAGGACATATACTCTGACTGGAACAAGTAGCCGAAATCTCAGTATCTTGCTGCAGTAAATGTTAACTGTCAGCCTCATCAGAACTGTCCTCTGGATAGCATAACAGTGGAGTTCTTTTGTTCTAGGTGAGTACTGATGAAAATGTGGCAATCAGATTTGCAGTGCCTACCTTGAGATAAAAAATAATTCAGTGTAAATTGACATTATTTTGGTACGAGGAAGAGCCATTCGTTAGAATACCCTTTGTTTCGGCATTGTGACTATTGGTACCTATCAGCTATGTGTATCTTTGATCCAGTTTTAGAACCAAAGTTCATTTTACTTAATAATACTTTCACCCCCTTCTTTTCCTACTTCATTTACCTGTCTCTTATCTGTGATCGTGACCAGTAAACATTTTCACCCATATTGGTGAAAAAAGTTTTAATCATTTATGTTCTGTCGCCTTTTATATGAATATGTATGACAAATACATGTGTGATCAGTATGTCCAAAAAGTGTTGCGCAAATAAACTGCACGTCTCAGACAAATTACCTGTTCTTATTGTTCTTCCAAAATTCATAAATTAAACTGATTGCTTTAAATAACAGCCCTTTTATTTTTACCATTTTGTGCTTCATTCCGAATGTTTTTTATCCATCTTTTATTTTGGGCTTCATCGGATGTCCATTCTTCCTGAGGATTTTTCCGACAATCATCAGACTTCCATCATTCTTATTTTTCGAACATAAGACGTTATCTCTACTGAATAGAGTTTTCAGCAGCCTTCTCAGCCTTAAATATCCTGCGAACATCCTACGTCTTCATGCTTATTTTCCTTTTCATAGAAAAGAGATAGATAGGCTGACTGACCTTCTGAAGCCATTCACCAGCCCGCATTATTTCGTTTTTCTGATTCCCCAGAAGAATAAATTTATTTTGATATGTCTTTTCTATGCTTTGAAAATTTTGTACCGATTAGGCTGATTTTACAGTGTAGGGAGGCCACTCCCATGCCCAGCCTTCTCTCTATTTCCGGGCTTAGAACCCGCTAGGTGACGTCAGTCACTGGCAAATATTCATTAGGCTCATTTTTTTCTTTGTCATTAAATTGTAATTATTTTCAAAGACAAAGTTATAAATTTTAAAGCGACAAATAATTGCTGTCCAGACTGCGGATTTCTTGTTGGTTTTCATTTGCTTTTTTGAGCTCAAGTTTTTCAAGCTGGATAGCTGAAATCTGTCTAGGCATCAGTTAGAATTTTTAAAATATATACAAAATTAAATAAATTATTTCAATCAAAATTCACTTCTCTTTCCTTAACTTATTTTAGCTTCATAAAAGCAATACCAGAAGTCGTGCGACGTCTACCTGAACTGATACCAATTTTAAAGTTGAATTATGTTTTTTCCAAGGGAATTTCATACACGGTGAGATTTTTGATTAAAATTCAAAATACACTTGTACAAATGGTGATTTACGGTAAAAATTGATTCTATTAACAAGCATTTCTAATAATAGGAGAATATAACTTATGTTAAAAGAAATATATTCCACATCTATTCCGCTGTTAGCATAACTTATTATATGGTTCCATCTTAGTCCAGTAACACAACGAAGACATTTGTAATCAGAAATCTTCACTTTCTCAACTTTCGGCAGCAATGTCTCAGTTTTAAAGCACAACAGATCAAACCACATGATAGCTAGCACGTCTTCTGATGAGCAGTTGAATACTACACCTGCCTTAGGAAAGATACAGGTTGCCAGAATTCAATTGAGTTTTTATGTATCCATACAGAGATTTCGCCATTCACCTTTCTTAACAGATGAAACAGTTTTTATTTATTCTCAATATGTGCTTATGATGTATGTGAGATGAGATTTACCAATGGACTTCACAGTTATTTGTATTCTCTCTTGGAGTTGGGCTGGTGCCGCTCTCGATTGTACCAGAAACATAATTTAATGCTGACTGAGTGATAACACACAAGAATGGTAGACTTCTACCAGCATACTCCGAAACCATATGCATCACAGAATTTTATATAAAATCAAAATGACCTCGGCACTCAGAGAAGTGGAGTCGAAAACTGAAGGTAAAATATATCTTAACATAAATTACGCACCTTGCTAGTGGATGCCAACAAGAAAGATATCTAGATGAAGCTTTTCCTGTCAACTGATGTCTCCTATCAAAGCAATTATGACATCCTCTAGGATTGTAAAGCTTGTTTATGATGTGGAACAGAGATTAACTTTCTTTTTTATGTCATTTCAGGATGGTCGACTGCCAGAAAGTCCAATCGCTAAAGTCGATTCAGGTATGCAGACAGTGCTACATCCTATAGAATCTTATATTGACACCAATTATCAGTGGAATGAGTGGGAATTGAGAAAAAATGCTTTGAAATTAGTAAGTTATAAAGTAAAGTAAATATATGGTGAAAGTCACACATAGTGTAACAGTAGAAGGCAAGACACGGAAGCCAAGGTATATTTTTCATTGATCAAACCTCTGTTTATGTATATAGTTTTATATTCTTTAACCAGTGACTGAGCGTATGATTTTGGCTTACATTAAACGACATGAAATAGAATGTTCAAATAGATATATTGTATTCTGTTGCTAATACCGTATTGAACTGTGGGAATATATGAGAATAATATTTCGTTGGAACACATTGTCTGTATCACACCACCACAAAAGTATTCGCTCATAACGAGGGTATTATTGATCAGTATTTGAATATAAAAGCTTCAATGTCGATGTTTAGTTTTCAGTTTTTCCTTGATGGTGCACAGTTAAATGAACGTCATGAGATCACAATTTACTGAGAGTTTTAATTACTGAGAAGAAGACATTATCAGGATTGTTTCAAAACGATCACAACTGCATTATGATCACAGTGAGTAGATTTATAAATTCTAATTGCACAAGCCTCAGTAACTGAAAGTATCTTTTGTGTTTGTCTTTCTGCTGACAACAGTGAATAAGTTGGTATGTGTCAGTATCATATTCGTAATTTTTAAGATGCGTTTTTATTGAGCCTTTTGATACTCTGACTTCAGTTTTTTCTACCACCAGGACAGATGCTTCATCGTGTGAGTAGCCATTCGCTTTTCCGTACAACTTATGTATTTGCTTCCATAAACACACTGAAATTAAAGTTCTAAATATACTTCTCAAATCAGTGTTTAGGCGCTTTACCATATAAGTATATTCACTTGTTTCTTGCCCCTAATAAACTGTTTTTCGAAGAACTTACCAAGCTTTCTGGTGCTAGTATTTCTTACTCCACTTATTTTACGGGATACTATAAATTTTTTTTAACAGATACTGATAATTTATGAGGTTTCTTTTTATCTCTTGAACTACAGACAAATTTGCGTAAAAAAGCTACTACATCTGTACAGACACTATTGAGCAACTGGAGAAGAGATAATGCAACTCAAGTTTACCTGTTAAAGTAAGAGGTTCGCTAAGTATTTTTTTTAAGCCCTAGTTTTTGAGATTTTAATGTGGATTACATCTAAAGACACATTTGTTTACTGTAACTGATTGGGTGGAAGATTATTTTCTGTTGTTGTTGATTTTCATTAGTGTCAGTTTACCAGTGTTTGTGATGTCTAGTCCAACCACAGCTCCTAACCTGACTTAATGATCTTGATTGCCTAAATCGATCGAATGAACTATTAAAATGTGATATATGCAGATGCAAACAAGCAGCAATAATTCAACGACACACAAAAGAAACTGTATACAAATATTTGTTTAAAGGCAGAACACTACAGCACCACTATTCTGGGGGGAATAGAAAAGAAATACCTTCTGATAGTCTTCCAGTATTTTAACTTTTATCAAGATCTAGAGCGTGCTTGAAATGCCTCCATCGATCTACATAACTCCACTTTAATTCTAGTGTATTGAGGAAATGTAATATTATTTTAGTGAAATAAACTAGTTATTTTTAACAATGAGATCGGACTTAGCTGAGATTAGTTGGCTCATCAGTATCACTGAGAAACAGGTTAGCTAAGTAACAACTACTGACAGTTTCCCAGTGAAATTATACTGAGATGAAACTTTACTTGTACACCACGGTATGTAAGTAATCTAACTAGAAACTGTTCAGCAGAAAGTAGACGGTCATTCAGGGAAAGTAAAGGAGATCAACGAGAAACCAATTAACTCTTAGCGATAAATATGATGTTGTTTTTTCCTCTGTGACAATCATATGATAAGAACAGAAAACTATTAGGACCTGATTGATGTTAAAGCCGGAGCTGTGAAGTTTCGGTAGCGGTGGTGTTTATCTTTACGGGCTGAGGTTGCTAGCCTCATGCTCAACCTTCCCTCTTTACCGGTCTTATTACCGACTTAGCGAAATTTAGGGGTGCGTTGGCCTGGGATCGAATCCCGGACCACATTAGTGGTTGGCGAGCATTCTATAACTAGGCTGCCGACGCACTCATTCAAGATAATGCATGATTTAAAAAGAAACTAATGCTCTGACGTATAACACTTTCATTTCAGATGTTTTTTTGTATCGTTTGTAAGTTTATTTTTTTTCTTCAACAGAGTTACTTCACTGATTGTGGTCTTCTGAAATTTATTTTCGTAAAATATCATTTTCCTTCATAGGAACACTGGCACAGCGACCAAGGAAGACGGTTATACACAGGTGCCAAAACCAAGTATATTTATTCATGGATTACGTGGTTGCGGTGGTATTGATAAAGCACCGAATGCAGTTGATGCGATTAACAACCAAGTGAACTGGACAACACTACAACGTGAAACAACTGCAACAGTAGTAGACTTAACCATACCAGTGGAACAACAGTTACTAGGGAGTTTACATAAAGGAACAATCACATGGGATTTATAAACCAAACCTATGCAGGATATTTTCTGTTGATAATAACCCACGTGTTAAAAAGTGCTAAAAATAATACTGTATCTAATTAAATACATTAGTTAATGCACGCATTAGGTTTTTTTCATTGGAATCTTTCTCCCGGAATATGGTTGCATATAATGTAGTAATTGAATACTATGTCAGTATTTTATTATTATTAATCACTTGGATTCCGAGTGAAACATAGGGCTTCAGCAAGACATCTCAATTCCAGTCTGAAGTATTTTCTCGCTAGCTTTATGATTACCTATAAGCGTCAATCTTCTCATCACACGATCTCCTCCATGTCTTTGTCAATCTACCAAATTAATTTATGATCAACCCTACCGAAAGCCTATTCGGTATGGGTGAAGTTTAGGTAGACGACTGATTACTATTCTGTGCTTTGTTTAATGATGATGCGTCATGTTGCAATTAGATCTGTACATGATTTGCATTACCCCACCAACGTCATCCAGTCATCCTTCAAAGGACGTGTGTACTGAGTGGCAGTTTGGTTAGTTCTCCTTTGTAGTTGCCTAACATGGCCATTGAGAGTGAAAGATATACAAACGGTAGATGTCTTTGATCACAGATATTTGCATTCTTCTCCCGTGTTAAGTGGCATATTATGTTGAGCAGTAGTATGGATAAGCATAGATTGCTAGCTAACGAAAAGAAGTCAATCGATGAGGCTGTGAAGCTGCTTTATAAATAGTTGGAAAATAATTAGGAGTGGTTAAATCAAAACCCGGCTAAATCCATGCAGTCACTGGCTGTTGATTCGAGACTCGTAAGGAGGTGTCGGCTGCGTCGTTGAGATCCACAGGATTCAAGGAACCCAGGGCTTGAAACTGTTGGTTGCACAGTTCAAAATCATTCTCAGTGGTGCAAATCGGTTTACTCTTTGTAATTTCTCAGATCCTCGGGTTTCACCATGCAATTATCATTTCTCCCATACATTTCTGCTCAGAGTATGTTATCATTATATCATTCTCTGTAATCTCCCAGAAACACTAAACCGTCATTTTTTTCGAGTTACTACTCTTCCTGACGTAAATTTGTGCTCTTCATGATTCTTTTGAATTTATTTTTTCTCTCTTTTCCGTACTATTGTAGGTGACATGATGTATGGCAGCTTGAACTGCTTCACTTCTCTCCTGAAACTTAGGTGGTCATTCAGCTTGTTCCGTGAGGAGTTTTGCATCCACAGAACCTTGCGATCACTTCAGAATGATGTGGCTTAATATTCTTCTTCAAGTAGACAATGGGATGAACGCGCCCCAATCTTTGTGAACCCCGAGGTCACCCTTCTTCAGCAGTTTGACAAGGTAGTCCTTCTTCACACTGGCAGGTGCCCTTCCTTCTGAACTTTTTTCAATTGTGACGTTAGCATATCTGTCTACGTTTCTGGGCCATTTTTCGGTGCTTCTGTAGAAGACCTATATGTCTTTACTGGTTTCCCAGCTTTCAGGAAATGTTTGGTATTCAAGCCTTTTGTCTGAGAACTCGTGTTCACTGACACTTCTATGGCTTTTGGTGCTATTTCTGGACGCGTTGTAGGCGGTGGTTGGTTCAAGAGTTCCTTGAAGTGATAGGTCCGTCGTTTACTTCTCTTCTCTACTTGGGTAACTAGGCTCCCTTGACCATGTGTGGTTGATTTCGTCTTTGTTAATCTCTTCGCAGATAGACATCTGGTTCTGAGGTGCTCCTTACCGTTGGCCTCTGCTGCTTCAGTTTCCAGTGTGTCGTAAAAATGTGTTCTGTCTCTCGTCTCACTCTTCTTCACTTCTTTATTCGGTTCAATGTACATTGAATTCAGCCTCTCATTTCGTTGTCCATCTGCGCACTGGTCTATCTTCCGTCTCACTGTCCCCTTCTTCTCTATCACCTTTCAGGTGCCTGTAGAGAGTCATTCGTTGTCTTGCCTATTTCTCTTTCCTAAGAAGGTTTTACAGATTTCCATCTTTGCTCCGATGAATTCAGTGAAAGCGTCAATTCACAGTTTCGTCCTTCAGTTTCTAGGTGTTGGGCGTAAATAGTTGCTTTCTGTTTGACTCAGAAGGCTGCTTACACTAGGTGATGGTCTAGGGCCACACCTGTGCCCCTTCTTGATTTTGTTTCCAGCAGATCCCGTCTGAGCTTTCTTGAGATTGAATTGATTTCTGTCTGATTTATGGTTTGTCTGTCTGGAGAAATCCATGTCGCCTTTGTATTTCCTCTTGAGTGTATATGGTGCCTACTATCGCCAAATAATTAGATGCACGGAAGTTTGCGAATAGTTATCCGTTTTAATTCGTTTGTTCGGAAAACTCTTGACCCATGATGAGTTGTTTTCCCATGTTTTCTCATCTTAGTTTGGCTTTCATTCACATTACTTATTAGGTTATGTCGCTATCTGAGGTCCTGTCCATTACTAGTGTCTGAGTGACCCATGTAGATTATAGACCCATCAGTTAACAAGTTAGGAAGTCCACTTCTATTCCACCTGCTCTCATGAATTTCTGGCACTTCTATGCCAATTCTTTTCATTTATTCTGCAATGTGAGGAGCATTTCAGCTTCACACTCGTGTGGATATTCTATCTCCCCATGCCTACTTTTCCTCCGACGGATGGATTACATATGGGCTGACAGACTCCCTGAAGGATTTCACCAACCCGCGTCATTTCGTCACTCAGATTTCAGAGAAGAATAAGTTTGCTTTTTATATTTTTGTTGTGATTCGAGGCTTCTGTGGCTCTTGAATTGACATTCCGGCATAGGGTCGCTAGGCCCACCCCTAACCTTCTCTCATTTTTCGGTTTTAGGACCGGCTAGTAAACCAGGCGAGGTTATTATTTCCATACCACTGACTATTTAATTTTTTAGTCGTGCCCAATGGAGGTTCACCAAATTAGGTGTGAGGATAGGTCGTCGCAGATGAAATTGGTTGGCTGTGACGCTTCACACCGTAAAATGTCAGAAGATAGTATTCATGGGTTTTTGTGATCGTACCCAGTGACTGGATAGTTGGTGGGCTCACCTCGTAACCTGAAGGTCGTGAGTTCGATCCTTGATGAGGTCATGGGTTCTTAATAGTTCTCTAATGGATGCTGGTTTATGTTCTAACTCGAAACGTGAATATTTCAGTTTAGTGGAATCATAAACGATTGTATCTCTGAAAATACTTCTATCTTCTCCGAGTCCCTGATGTGACCTTTATTATTTGACTAAAGTTTGCTTTTCACTCATTGAGAAATACAAAAACCTTTATTATAATGAATATCATATACCTAATGTCCAAATCTTTTCACACTGTTGAAAGTGAAGTTGGTTTGAACTAATATGACTAAAGTTTAAGTTTGAAATTAACATAAAATTGCAAACCGGATTCTTTACGATAGATACAATGTAACCTAGTTATATATGGTGAATTCAAAATGCTGTGCTGCAAATGATTACATATTTTCATGCTATCGGCTGCAATCTTGTACTTGGATTTGATGCTTATTCGTACTTATCCAACAGCCATATCTTCTTTCTCGTGAGAAATGAAACTATCATCGTCCAAAGTTTCAAAACTAAATGTCATCTACTGGTAATTACGTAACATCTACGAGTTGTACAGTCCACTCTAAAGCATCGACAGACTGAAAAACATAAGTTTAAGTTGTTCGCCATTGATCCTTAGAGTCTAGAGGATTTCACCGCAGTAGTCTAGACCTCTTTACGTGACTCAAACAAACGGCTAAAGACTTGGTGAATTAGCACAACATTTTTTTCTAACTCTTTTCTGACCTAATCCTGTATTAGCCAACACCCCACTGTCGAAGATGGCACGGAATGAGTAACACAGGTCCTAACCTTCTCAATCAGTGTCTTAAGGATACAAAAAAGAATTGAGCGAATCGTTGCACAATTCACACTCTTTGATGAATAGACTTTGTCCGAAAGCTTCGGAACTGCTTATTTTCCCCATTTGCTGAGCCTCAGACATGCGCGTACACTATGTAATGCATGGCAGAAGTCTACACCGGTGTCTCAGAAGGAGCAGCAATCTTCCATCAATCCCTTCCTTCAACAACTAAGAGGCAAGTAGTTTATTTATTCTCATCCTTTACTTGATGTCACCAGATGAAACAGTGTCTCGCCTTATGTTTGCAATTAGTTCAGTTTATGAACAGGAGGTTACCTAAACTAAAATGTGAGATATGACTACTCTTTTCGGTTCATCGACATGGTACTTCATAGATATTACCGAGATGTTTTACAGACTGACTCATCTTTCCTACTTAAAAATTAAAATCAGATGTTAAAATAGCTACATCTGAGTACATTAATTTGAACAGTAAGCGAGGGATTATCTGATGAGACTCATTCTTTACTAGGTCTAAAATGCAAACATCTCGTATGGCAGCAGAGAGATCTAGGAATGTATCGACAAGTGGCAAACTTTTCCCTTATTTTCACAGATTTAATCGGCAGGCTACAACAGATACAACTATCCAATTGTATTCAGTCGAGTGGTGAGTATTCTGCTCCCAAGGTAAATGCTACCTCCACACCAGCAAATTCTCAAGACTTAACCAGAAAACCTCTTGACACCTATAGAATGCGCTGTCTAGATTCACCTTATTGGTCAGGTGGAGTAAATAACTAAACTTCAGCCTTGTATCCGTCTTTTAGAAATATAACGTACATCTAAAGTTTTGGCTAGTAAGACCTAATTTGATTTAAGATTCGGACATTGAAGTTTCCAATGTGAAACTGACAGCGTGGTTGTAAGAGTATCGGGACCGTATTTCTCTAACTTTGTTTTCTGGTGATGGTCAAAAATTTAGGTGAAGGTGAACAAATCTTTTAGCGAAATTCGAAAAAAGGTGAATGCAGGTGATGAACAGTTGAACTTCATATGCTTGTGTGTGTGGGGGGGCTGTGTCCACTTTTTGGCTGCGTACATCGTGGAAACTGATTTATTCCTGGAGTACCTGAAATAGAGAGAAAAGTAAACTGCCAGTCTGTAGGCCACCATTTGGAGTTTTATGCGTACAGAAGAACTTACTGCAGCATACAGACAACTGAGACGTAAGCCGGAATGTAAAACCATTGGGACCGACCCCAATTAAGGCAACTGTAATCTATAAATGGGTTAGAAGTATAAGACACCAACCAGCTCAGAGAACCCTTCTAATTGCAAACCAAAACATCGTCTGAGTCAGAAAGAAAATGTTTTCAAATACGTGTGATGTTAAAAACAGTGGACTACTCTTTTGGGGTGTACGTTTCAAGATCCAGAGTCACTTCATTATTATGTCTAACACTAAATGTACTTTAATTTGTGAATAGCCACATTTAATTACATTTTGAATGAAGAAGTATTTAGGAAACCCACCTGGTTTTCATTTGTATTTATAAACAACGGTGAACAAAAATTCTGACGGCTTTAGCTAATAAGTTACTATATGTCTGCTTCAAAACAAGTGTAAAGAATAGATTTACTGGTCATGTTTTCATGTCCCTATTGTTGATTGAATGCTACCAGTCGAGTTCTATAAGATGGTTATCAATTCGGGCCACTCGTCTTTATCCATACATTATGAACCGATGTCAGGTGGCTGGAGGTAATTAATAGGCAAATCTGGACCAAGATGTCGTGCTTACAGTTAGATGTAACTTCAAGATCAAAAGAATTCATGCTCTTAAGGATTTAAACTGGTTTTTGCCAGTGTTGAGGTCGGAGAAGTCACCCGAGTGGTTTAGTGGTGACGTAATGAATTACATAAAAGAAAATTTAGTGAATCTTAACAATCATTCTGGTCTACAGTCTGCCAGAACCATATGCCTACTTGACATTATGCTACATAATCAATCTCCAAAATCGAAACTATTTTCAATTTCCAACACTATGTCTTATAAAAGGTCGACCACATTTCTCTGTGAGTTTAACAAATACGATTATAAATATCCAGATGACAGACACTATAAATACCCTGGAATAATTTGAGCACCGAATCAAATAGAATCACTGTGAAATCATTTTATAGATGTCTGAATGAATATTTCTGCTATATTGAAATCCCAGAATATCTAGAGAAATTGAAAACAAGATTTTCCTGGACTTGTTGCTATGCAAGCAACTGATTCTTCCTCAGAATTCCTCAGATTTTATTAAACATCAAAATATATAGTCAAATGAATATCTGTATGTCCTGCATCAAATTAGATAGCTATTCATTGTCGACGCACGCCACAAAAATACTTACCTAAATATGTGGTTTTATTTAATTATTCCAGTCAATATTCATGGTTTAAAATGTCACACGATTCACGTGACGTTACACTGAAGATTAGAAAAAGAAAGATATTCTATGTATTTTACTTATATATATATATATATATATATATACTCATCTCTAGCAGAGAAATCTGTGAAACTTGCATATTATTTAAACATGCACACACTTAACAAAACTCCAGCAGAATATGGTTAAGTCATGATTGGCATACTTAATTGAGAAGTAAATTGATTTCAAACACACGAAATGCATTCATTTGATCATACTACTCATTTAACAAATATCATTTCTGGTTTAAAGTCTTTAAATCAAGCATGGTGTACAGCAAATTTATTAAAACAGAGGAAGGAAAGTTTATATGTTTATCAAATGATAGATAAATGGATGCGACGATGGTTAAAAAGCGAAGTATGTAATGCGATAAATTTGAAAAAATCATATCAAGAGCGGAGAACAAAAGAGTTACCTGAAGATGATAAATTTAAAATAAAAGTAGTTAAAAAAGGGAGAAAATCAGCACAAGGCAGAGCTTTAAGTGCAAACGCTCAGTTACCCTTTAAACAACAGAAAAGAAAAGAAAAATTAATACGCAAAGCTCTAGAATCGTTGCCTAACATCGTTGTTAGTCAGGATACTGTAACTCCAAGTGATGGAATCTCTTCAACTGGTACAATATGTAAAAGCTTAAATCAGTTGCACACTAGTATATTTGCTGAAAATAGTGAGAAATGTAGTGGTGTAAATTATGGGAACCATGAGAAATACAAAGAAGTCTTTGAAAACATCAAAAAACACTCACCATCATCAACTGATCAGCCGGAAGCGAATGTAGGTCCCTTTGATTCAAACGAAGTCTTCAGTTTCCGTACTAAAACATCATTGTCGGACAGCTCAATGCATTCAGTCGACAAAAAAATATATAATACACCCGAGAAATCTGAAATAAATATATTAAATAATACAAGAGATGGAGATAACTGGATAAGTCGACAAATTCGTATACACAGTTTTGAAACAAATCTAAGTGAGTCATCACAAACGACTACCTCTGGAAAACGTACTGTTATAACCATTAAAAAGAAACGCTTCTTCATACCATCACAAAATGATAACAGTTTAAAAAGTCCTATAAAACATCAACAACCCCTAAAACCAAACACTAATGTAACAGTATGTCCTAGAAATGATTCATCGCCGATGACTGATAGTCAAAAATATGTGAGTAACTCAGTGTCAACCAAAATGCTGCCTCTATCAGACAATGAAATTAACTGTATTTTTGACAGCAGTAACTATGATTTGGAAATTATGAAAGGTACCAAATTAGGTAGGGATGAACTGAAGCATCGTGAACTACAACATGATATCCAGAGGTCAGTACAAAAGACTCTCTGTCATGGTGAAAATTCAGATAACATTACTGGTAATATAACTACTGTAAGTAAGAAGTCCTGTAGAAACAAAACTTTAAAAAACACTAACTCTTATGAGAAGAGTAGTCACTTACTATGGTCAGATAATACCCTGTTGAGTGAGAGCTACGACACACAAGATCCCAAGACCATTTGTAACACATTAAATAGAATTACAACGTCATCATCAGTTTTACAAACCGCACAAGTAGGATTTACCAAAGCTTTTAGTACCACACCCACAAATTTCTCATATGAAACTGAAAATTGTACCAACAAACATATATTTAAACAAAATAATGATGCAGCTCTCAAAAGACTGTATGAAAAATTAACAAGAGTACGAAAACAGTATTGGTTTCGTTTAAGAGAATGTCCAATGAATTTCAGAAAATACAGTTGTCGAAACGTGCCTAGTAGTCGGTGTAATCTTTCAACATACTCGCAAGATAGAAATTCAATGGAATCTGTAGTACTGTCTCATAATACTAATAAGGTGAGTGGCTTATATAAATCGACGTCGCCACCCAGAAAAGTCAAAAAGAGGAATAGTAACTCCCAGCAAAATAACAATAGCTTTGACAATACCAACTCAGAAAAATCAAAGGCAACATGTACTGTCGAAAACGCTACTCTAGGTCAACAGAAAAACAGCATGTCATCGTCATCACTAAAGAGCCAATGTCCTTCAAACCCAAAAAACATTTCAGAACAAAACAGTGAGAAATTAAATGATTATACTAGTGGCGGCCTGGAAATTACAGCCAGAGGGGCAGAATTACCACTAGTGAACATTGAAGACCTTATATCATCTACCTTATCAGAAGATGCCATTAAAAATCACTATTTTTGTATACGTCAACCAGGTGATGATGCATCAGACACGTACAGATTCTCCGTACTCTCCGAATTTCTTCATTCTACATCAGATGAATTGATTGCATACAAGCACAAACCTAGACCAGGATTAGCTACAGGTCGGAAGCGCATTCATAGTTTGGAAAACATTGGAAAAGACAAATCAGCACAAGAAAATACTGTCACACAGACAGCTGAATTCAAAAGCAATGAAACTACTAAAGAATACGAAGCTGATAGTTTAGAAGCTGTCGATTCATTGCCGACATCATTCCAGGATATGAAGGCATATGATTCTCCTCAGTCCAAGTCAGAATCTACTGTTGAGCCAAAAATAATCAAATGGGAGTCACATAAGTCATTTCATCGAAGTAGATATGAATATCAAAGGCCATTTCGTTATTATTTACAATCAGTATTATCAAGAGATGCAAGTAGACGAACTAGAGTGATGTCATCAACCAAGTTCAGTACAGCGTCTTCACAGTTAAAAAATAAAAAATCTGGTAAAAAAAATGGAAGGTCTAAATCTCGATCACTTAGTCATGATAAACGCAGAAAAGCAAGACCAATGGATAAGTCTGCTAGAAGGCAACCTGTGATAAAAAGCTTATCTAGAAAACAGAGTAATGTAAAAAGTACAGATAAAAGAAGTGGGAGAATAAACAAAACAAAGCGCCGGAAATACTTGCAAAAGAATAAATCACCCAGAAAGGGTAAGCATAACCCAGTGAAAAAATCAGAAAAAACTATGCAACAACTAAAAAAATCACATCGTAAACCAAACGTTAATTTAGTGAGTAAAACACGCGGGAGCTTAATCTCTCAATCTGACATTGAAAACTCATACCAGAAGCTAAATAAATTTACTTCTGATATGAATCGCCTATACAAAATACGACAACAAATTGAGAATTCAAAAATGAAACCATTCGAGTTTACACAAACTAGAAAAGCGAAACTCAAAGGCAAAACTAATAGTGACATAAGCAAAGCATACCAGTCGAAATCAGTTTATAACAACTATGACAATACATATGACTCTCAATCAATTGAAATAACAACAAAGGAAAAAACTATTCGTTCAACTCCATGGTTTAAGCTGCATAGACGTACCGCAAATAAGAAAAGTAAAAGCGAAGAAATTAGCTCCAGTTCGAGTCAAGCTCAAAATCAACCACATAACAGAAAGAAAAACAACTCGCAACAAAAGTCAGTGAATAAACAGGTTAAAAACAAAAAGCAAAATAATTATAAATTTCTGAGACAAGTTAATATAAATCAAAGAGATGGCGACAAAGTCAACAATACTGGCTACTTTAATGAGAAGTTTGTCCAGATGAAAAACCAATATGATTTTACTGCGTATTTAACTATTATTCCATATGAAATCGATGAAATTGTTCTACCCTTTAGAGCAAATAATAAAATTCACAGTAAACTTAAACAGATTTATTCATTTCTCGGTGGTTTAGACAAGAAATTACTAGAAGATATGCCTCCACATATTAAAAGTAATATGAAAGATGTCAATGATGAGACTGAGAATACAACGTCTAGTAATAACATCAGTTTAACAAATCAAAATCGTTCTTCTTATCTTGATGAAGTGAACAACAGAAAAAGAACAAAAAGAAAGTCAATACTATTGAACTGTTTCGCAGAAGGTGATGTAAAGAACAATGTAAACAATAATGCACCGAGTGTTTCAGCAATTGAAAACACCGATCTGAGTTATCCAACATATTTACCGGAAATCAATCAAAATACCGCAGAATTTTGGTATAAACTTTTATATACATGCAATGATACTCGATTGTCTAATATGATTGATGAATTAAGACAAATCACTGATAGGCGCATATTTGCTATTGAATGTAAATGTAAGTGTCGTATTATACTGGATGAAAAGACAATCTATTCAATAACTGCTCTTCCATGTATGCAGTTACGTATAGTTTCCAATGAATTGAAAAATGTACAAAAAGCTCTGAGCGAATTAGAAAATCATCTTCCGAATGTATATAAGCAACTTGTGTTCACAGAAAGATTTCATGCATCAAAAAGCATTGGATCAAGTAGTAGTCTTCCGACGACTAAATCTTTTCTGATTAAATCAATTCCGCAGGGAATTAAAAAGCCATCATTGAGTACAATGCAAAGATACATACCCATTATAGAGAAAACAAAACAAATGCAGAAAAGAAAAACACCGTAAATAACAATTTTCAAAAGAAATTCAAAGATATGAATTTATTCTAACTTAGCTTATCAAAATTCAGTACCAATTTAACATCCAAGTGAATTGAAAACATTTTAACCCGATTTATGTTATCATCAAAAAGAGAAACACTTATATACTATTTTCAATAAAGTTTCGCTGAGTGAGAGGAACTTATTCATTCCTCATGGTAGACGATATTTACGGCATCGTATTCATAAATAAATGGAAATTTAGTCAACTGACACTGGTAATTGTTCTATTTTCAGTTGAATAAAAAATGAAAAATGCTACTGAACCAAAAATTTAAGTGAGTAAGCGGTCTTTTGTTTCCTAAAAAACACCTAATTTAATAAGAATCATGAGAACTATTGGTGTTTTCTAGATCCAAATGTATAATTCTTTTCTGGTAATAATATTTTTCCACCAAGAAAACAGAATTTTTGAGTAACTTTGAAACTACATATATATATATATATATATATAGCAACTAAATCTATAACTCATAATTGGTATGTGAGAATTTATGACGACAACTGATTCTTCAGGATGAATCAAAATGCATCAGGTTCCAGTGCAGGATCCACCGCCTGAAAGTTAAGCATTACATCTATGAGGCACGTCTAAAATATAAACGGTACATATCTCTATAGTAAGAAATTTAGTAATCTACATTTTGTTGTCCATTATGAAATGGCCAAAGATAGATCACAGATGTTTTCTTCGCTCAACTAAAAGTTAAACACTTTCTTACACTTTATATTCACCTATCACTTAGATAGTCACTTTCTATTACACGTTTATTTGAATTTTTTGTTACTTATTGATTTTCGCCTAATGTCCTGTTTGAGGTTGTGTACTAACTTTAGTCAATACATTTTTGTGAGACATTGCCCACTGTGATTCATTTACCTAACGAAAGTGACCAGATTTCCAAATAATTCTAGCAAGAGACTTATATGTAGGGAGTTAATGAGAAGAATTTATCCAAGCAAAAATGAAAAAGAGTAGGATGAGACTTCTTGACTGTATAAGCTCCTCCCAGTTAAAAATGATAGAATAACCAAAAATGGTGGGATAAAATCCTGTGGTAACATGAAAACAATAACGCATTTTCAAGTATTGGTTTGTACTGTGAAGAGTCCCAAACTAGGACGAAACAGCTGTCCAGTACTCCCAGGTTTTCCGATGGATGGTTTTCTAACCAATGTCACCTCATGATGAAATCCTGTGATCAATAACAGATTTGTAGAAACGAATAGTTAAATGCCAGTAAGTTCAAGGTATTTGACTCCTATTATTAAGATTTAAGGCAGCATGTATAATTTAAAAAGATAAATTAAGATAAAAGCAAATACTTAAATCTCAAGAATAATTTGATAGCTAATCTCTAGGAGAATCAGTAAAACACAGAGTATTGTTGATGAATAAACAGATGCAAGAGTGTAGAAATATTTGTATAAGTTCATTTATTCATGTTACCAACCTAAGTAAAAACACACAATTAAAGGAAGATAAGAGATATGCAAATTATGCTACAATGGACAAAAATGAATATGAGGGAGAATAATTCAACTTCAGTTGGTATATCGAATCTGATAACAAGGTAATTTTTGAATACCACCAGAAGTGAAAAAATTGTGGCCATGTCACAATGAGTTTAGGAACGGTGACTTTTAGTAAGTCAAAGAATCCACTCGAATGACCTAGAGCCACCTCTGTTACTCAGGCAAATGCTTGACTTCCAGAAATGATACCATCCTCTAACCTCAACTTACTCCATTCAGTATTGCTCCCCGCAAAAATTATCTCGTCAAGTGTGTGACGCCTTTCCTTAATACCCAGACCAATGAAAAATCAATGTCTCATCGAATGTCTTCATGATTCAGATATCTCACCAACAAGAAACATGATATAAGTTGTGCAAGTCAGCTCTGTGCTTGCACTAAGATTATCCCATAATACATAAGTCCAATTTTTCAATATTAACTATGACCAACTAAGACATTCTCTGTTCTCGGAATAAGACGTGTACACCAGCGTCACAACATTGTTGCTTTCAACAATTTATTTATGACTAGATGGAATAAGAACCGTGATATATGACATTCTCTTTGAAAACGCTTTTAGTTGTCATTTTTTAGATGACAAATTTTCATAGGTTCTTAAGCGGCTAAATAAGTTCAGGTGAAGCATCTTGACTTGTAAGACACACCTTTCCGGGTATCTGTCGACAATCAAACATTGTTACAGTACTACTAGATCGATCAGCTAATATATGGACAAAGGTAAGGAAGACGAGTACCGCTGCACTCAGTCTGAATCCGCTGAATATAACCGATCATCTTTTCTACTCCAGCGTTGAAATCATCACAAACATAGAATCTAAGCAGTCTATTTTTCAAGAAAAGTTGATTATTCATGATAAAATTCATACTATAATTAGTGGAAACTGAAGTTGGTATGAAAAAAATATAAGCTAACGATGGTGTGACGTAGTCCCCTTGTTCATACAAGATTATTGAGCATGACACAATACAGATAACTGAATGTTAAAATTCTTTACAGTACAGCTTAATGTTGTCTGCACACCAGCAATTCTGTGAGAATTAGCCGTAGAATCTACTTACACATCGGTTAGGTGGGATTAAGCGCTTAAACACAGACGGAAGCGAGTCTCAGAAATACACAGCCATATATGTCAGAGGTTTATCACATGAGACATACTAGGCAATTCTGAGTGGAAATCGGACGTTAAAAGTCCCAGTGTGAAGTTGGCGGTATGGTTTTAAGAGAATGAATGGTTTAAGAATGGTTCCCGCTTACATCAGTCATTTGCAATGGTATCAGTGTTAATAGAATCTGAGGAAACTGTATAGCAAATTATATTGTTGGTTGGGAGAAGCAGCGAACTCCAATAGAGGGAAAAAGACAGAGATGATTTTTGCTTGATTATCTAAATATGAGGGGCTGATATATTCCAACTACCCGCACATTAGAACTCGAGTAGTCGTTATTAAAACTATACTCCTGAGAAAGAAAAAAGGTATTTTAGCTTAATATGGTTTGTTAGTCGTCGTAAACCGACATTATTGTCTTTTCAGCATAGTACACGGTTTGAGAGGATTAAAGGTATTTAATCACCGTTACATTTTGAGATTTGGTAAGCATTTTAAAGTGGGACATGTATTGCACATGTATATCGTTTCACTGAAGTCAATTTCTATTGGGTGAAAGCCAATTGTGACCAAGACATAACAGATGCATAAAATTTCTGAATGCGTACCTCTGAGACGTACCTCCAACTGTAATCATTTACTTAACCCCATCCAACTGATGTATCTTGAATATTAACTGTAGGGGTGTAAGTAGATTGTATGTCTAATTCTCTCAGAATTGCTGATGTGCAGATAACATTAAACTGTATTGTACAGAATTTACTAGTCTAATGAATCTCAACAGGAAGTCATCTGTGTGTATGTGAAATAGTTTTATTTGACGAAGTTTAAGTATATAAATTAACTTCTCATATGAACATTTCTCTAATATTTACATAAACACGACTATGACAGAAGATGTGATAGTAAGTGTAGGTATTCAGGTCATTTTTAAGGAATGAATCTCGAACTTCATATGAATTCACATATATGGAAATAAATGTAACCTAACAGTAGTCATAAATACCATAAATGAAATTAAACATTTTCAAATAATCAGGATCGAACGGTGCACATAGCACTGCCGTAAACTTCAAAAAATCCAAAAGAATATGTACATATTACACGGCTTTGCTCATTTTACATTTCATCTTACCTATATGTAATATAAGGAAAATTCCTATTCAGTAGAATGCAAATGAATTTCTTATTTTTCCAAATCACTACTTAAATTTACAGAATACACGCATTATATAACAGTGTAATTTCTAAGTTCAATAGTTTTAACTGGTCAGTTTATTTATAACAGATGAACGCATAACCAAAAGGGTTTAATGAATGAAACAGTGAAAATCAAGCATAAAACACCGACTATTGCTAAATAATGAAACCAACTTAATGAGGCAAGATTATATGAATACACTAGCTTGCCTTTTTTGATAAGTTTATAAATTATTAAACCAACCTAATGATTAACGGTCAAAAGCCTAGCCATATAACTGCAGTACTGAAAAGTAACAAAAATAAATGATCAGCATATAATACATTTGTGTACTGATATTTTATAGAAAGCACACAATTTACCACACTTCTAAGTGGCTTGCACTGTTGTCTGTATGTATAATCCTGCCAATAAAGAAGAATCTGATCGTCAATCACGCAGCGGATCTGACCCAACGTCTGAGCTGAGCGAAATACTGTGTAATGTACAAGATGCAGCATATGAAAACAATAGCATTGATTAATTACACTACCTAGCTGACCGAAGAACTTTTACTCAAAACAATAAAATAATTAAATCTTAGGAAACAATTAGAGAGATACTGTTGTAGCGGTAAATAATTCCCCAAAATTATTAACCACAGCAAGCATCACTCAACATTGGATGCTGACCATCACTGTTTAAGTCGACTTGTTTAGCTGAAGGCTTACGGTCAAGCATCCCCGCCATTTGGTGCTCCGTCGTGTCACGTGCGTGCACGATTACTAGCTAGCTAAGCATTCACCTCTACCCGCGATTTTGTCCCGAAATATAATACGTACTTTGGACGACAAAATCTGGTCTTTTGCTTTATCTTTGGTACTCGAAGAACGAACACTATAGAAGTTGTTGGTATAAGATCTTGCGTTAGTATAATCCGTACAACTCGCGAACGTCGATACCTTCAATCTCTAAACTGTTTTATAAACAGGAGACGATTTAAAACAGGTTTTTCGTCCCTGTCGTTTTTCCTAACTTAATTCCACTAACACAGATGGTTGGGACAAACGGTCAACAGGCAGAAACAGTATATATATATATATATCAGTTGTCTGAAAAACTGAAGGTTCACATTCTTC